AGTACATATACATATGTGTGAAAACCATATATAAAAGTCACAGTACATCCATTAAGCCTCTTTGTGAGCTTCCAACACTCTCCTATTAAGCCTCCGAATTGGCCGAAAATACCTCCAAGGCCGTAAAATAATAATACGACGGCCATGGATGCCCAGCCTCCCGCTCCAACTTGCTCTCATATCTCTCATTCATAAAAAGGTAGCCGAAATAATTGGTGTCCTTAAGGAGAAAAGGCGAAACCGGAACCGGATATCTCCGGCCCCCCTTGAATGGGCCCGTATTACTCACGATTAAGAGCATTTTTAAATACGATATGCATCCGTAATTACCGTACGCACTTCATGGCCCGAGGTTTGACGAGCCGGCGGAAAGGAATGGCCAAATTTGAGGTGGATTTTTTAAAATTGAATTTTCAGAGATTTTGATGGCTTGGAGTTAATAAAAACTTTCAAAATTTGAAAAAAATATTTGAAATATGTAAATTAAATAAAACTTGTCTAAAAAATCAATTTTTAAAATACGACCAGCATGAAAGTTTATGTTATTTATCTTACAGAGGAAGTGCCCAAAGTCAATTTCTCGTCAGTCTTGGAGAGTTGCTGAAAAATGATGGCCAAGATTATAAGATACAAAAAAGAACAACATCTTTTAGCAACCCAAATTTTTATTTTTTACAAGATTAGTGTTCGAAGTATGACCTTCAGATTTCAATAAAAATTGTCACAAAATAAGGCAAATTTTTGCCAAGACTCATGTGACATTCCTAGCACTTATTTTGCGTATCACCAAGATTTTCAGTCGAAAAGTTGGTCAAAATTAAAAATTTTTTGCGAGTTTCGCTACGCAAATTTTCAGCTTTATCTCAACCGTTCAAAAAACACTTCTATCAGTCTGTCGGGAAAATAATAAGGACTCTGCTGCATTTAAAATCGCATTGCCGCCGAAAAAATGAACTACGTATCTTTTTCTGCATTGTGAATTTTGGCATGAAAACTTTCACATTTTAAATTGTCCTAAAATTTTTGCCGGCGCTTTGCAAAACTCCTGACTGCTATAACATTTGGAACAAAAAAAATAATTCTAATATGAAACCCGAATAAAAAACTTTGTAATTAATTGCGAAGCGTATGTGTGAAACACGATGAGCACAGTGGTAAAAGATTTTTCAAAATCCCCAAAAAATTTTCAGCCCTTTGAAAAGGTTCCTTGGCTTCTAATTTACCCTCTCCGAGCTTAATGGCCATAAAAGCGGGCGAATAAATGACAGATCGCATTTCGCTTTTCTCCAGGTAATTTCGGGGTTAAATATGGGCCGAAGATTGGGAATGAAGACATGATTAAGACAACACAAATGGGATTATTGGGATTTATTTTACACTTGAAAAAGGGTTGTTTTCACAAAAAAATGCAATATTTTTTATTGACACATTATCAGGTCTGCCGATTTTTTTTGGACGGCGAGTTTTTTCACCGTAAAAAACTCGAATTTTTTAGCAGAAACTGAAATCCCTGAAAATTTCAGATTGTGTTTTAACCGAGATATTCAACCATCGTTTTGAGGAAAGGCCGGGTGAAAAGCGGAGAGCGCTCTAACCATAAGAGAAAGACATTTTTTGGTCATAGCTGTGCCAACCAGAAAAAATTATTTTTTTTGAGGGAACTACTTATAAATATAAACTGTTATTTTCCCAAACTCCCCAAATCGAAAAAGTAGAACCTCGCTGATCGTGGTGAGATGGCCGAGTGGTCTAAGGCGCTGGTTTAAGGCACCAGTCTCTTCGGAGGCGTGGGTTCGAATCCCACTCTCATCAGAACACATCTTGGCTTTTTTATTGTAAAATACGTAATATACTTTCGGTGTGAAACATTCTTTTCTATGCCGAATCCACAAAAATTCTCTTCGTCGCTGAATCCTCAGAATCTCATATTTTGTTTGATGCCAAACGTTTTATACCCATCTATAAGGCCAAGTTAAAAATTAGCATGTTTATGACTCGTTCTTGACATTCTTCATTTCTTCAACTTTTTCTTTTTTCACTTTGTTTATTCCAGTTCGTCTGCACGCAGAATTCCCCATCAGCCATCATGTTTGGTGTCTCAAACAAGAACCAAACAACAGAGTTTCTAGAATATTAATTTTATCGCTTTTACAAAAAGTCACGTGGCGACTAATTTTCGAAGATTGTAAACAAAGACCAAACTTTTTAATCGGTCTAAAGCGGTTGATCTTATCAATATTTTGGTTTCAACGAAAAGTTTAATGTTACTTTTGTACTATTTTTACCAGTCTAACTTACCGGAAACAATGCATTGTATTGACCCTTTAAAAAGCAAGACGATTTCTCAAGACCTTTTCGCACGTACAGAAAATGGGAAATAAGGAGGGACTGTTAGTGAAAAGCCATGGAATGCGTTTTGCAGGATGAACCAACATTTTTAGTCCAAAAGTTGGCCAAATTCAGTTTATTTCTTATGAGTTTACGAATGAAAAAATTTTGCTTTACCTCTCTCAGTGAGGGCAACGTTCCGACAAAACATACTTGTTCCTAACAATAAGAAAAATCAGCAGCTGTAGCAAAAAAAAAGTTGTCTGTCTATCTATTCTTTTACGTATATCTTCCGAGCCTCTGAAATGCGACACTTCCTTGCTAAAATTCTTGCGAGGTGCATAGAAAAATTTGTAGAAAAGTTATCTAGTCAAGTTTTTCAGATCAACACCTTTCTCCTTGCTAAAGGACCTTTTTTCGAACAAACGAAAAAAAATTTAACGAAGAACAAACCAAAAATCGAAAAAAGATTGGCTTTTTCTTTTATTTTCCAAAACAATTGGACTTTTAATCGAAAAAAAACTAAAAGTTCTTGGGGTAGTTTGCTTTGGTTTCATCTTTGACTTCAGTATGTCGGGAAAATAGTGAGCGCAATGTCGTTATGACAGTAACGTCGCTGAAATGGGAAGTAATTTGATTTTGCCGCGACACACTTCGTTTTCTCGGCGATGAGGCGATTTTCAATAGAGTTCATTATTTTCCCGACAGCCGGATATTACTCACGCCAAATTTACAGGGGAAGTACCCCAAGTGCGACGCTCAGATTTTGATGAAACTTGGCACAAATTTAGAATAATTTTTTCTAAGATATATGCGAGAATCCTAGCTCGCGCTTTGCAGAAACAACCGAGATTTTTAGATCGAAAGTCGGCGAAAATTTCGGACTTTTTGCCGAATTTCGGCACGAAAAGTTTCATGCCTATTTCTACCGTAAAGGATAACGTTTCTACAAAAAATCAGATTTTTCCGCACGAAACTGCCAAAGTTATGGCCAAAAAGCGTTTTTCTCCCTGACCGCTCTCCACGTTTAGCGTGCTCTCTCGGCGGCATAAATCGTCCGATATCTCGGCGGCGCCTGCAAAGCGCGAGCTAAAACTTTCAGGAATTTATATTTCGTCTATTCCCGACGTGTGTGCAAAATTTAAAGAAAATCTGAGCGTCGCACTTGGGGTACTTCCCTTGTTAGCTGAATTTGCACTTGCATTTTTTTTTTTTGAATTTTCACTTTTTTCGCTACAATTTCCCGTTTTTTGCACCAGCAACGTTGCACTTTTCCCCGTGATAACTCCAATTCCCACGCTCGATGCCAAGTTCTGTCCGAACTTGCCGTGAGTACACAAACTCGAGTGCATTCTCCACTCCCATTTCCAGCTTTCCATTCTATTTTTGCTGTAAATATCTACTCAACTTCCGCCGAAGATTGCGTTATGATGATGTCGATCAATCAAAGTCCGCCCGCTTCATCCAGCAAAAATTCCTCTTTCTCACGATCATACTGACGTAACGCGACAAACTTTTCTTTATAAGGGTCGGTTTGACGCTCGATAATCCGGGTTGTCGTTTTATCTGCAGTGAGAGGTTCTGTAAGGAGTGCGCCAAGTGGGAATCAAATTGCTTCTCACTTCAGCGGCGCGTTCGGCGCAACGACAGTGCTCAGTATTTTCCCGACAGACTGATATTTGGAATGGAAGAAGAAAGAAAAAAATTTGTTACGACGTTTCGAGCCAGCGACAGTTCGAGTCAACAATACTCTGTAAATCGTGCCGGTTTGTGGTTGTATTCATGGAAGAGGCTAGCAGAAGCCTGAGTTAGTAGAAATAATAAGACTGATCGGGTCCCATGATAGCTTATCACCTTTTTTGAGGTAATTTACATGTATTCACATCAATAATATAAAAATAAAAGTTACGGGTCTTCGTTTTTTGTCCGAAATTTTGGTCTTTTATATGTTACACTAACTCGTGTAACGAAAATAATCGTTAGTAATAGCTAAAATTAAAAAAAATGGACATATTCAATTCTTCTTCAAGCCTCCGCCGAGCCTTCGCCAAGCGTCCGGCGAGCATCTAACGGCTTTTCTAGGCCTTGTAGGCACTTCCTACAACTTTTTTTTTTTAATTTTTGTCGCGACACAATTCATTGTCTCGGCGGCGACGCCATTTTCGATGCGACCGATTGCTCATTATTTCCCCGACAGACTGATAAAAGACTTATTTTTCAACCTACTGCAACATAATTTTATCAAAAATCATGATAACGGCATCACTACACATAATTTTTTAATCTCCTTTACTTTACGACTGATCTTTTCTTCCCACATGCTCAACCCGTTCTTACGATCAAAAATCACTTTTTTCGTTCGCCCAACTGCTCCAGAAGATTTCGTATTTGTCGATGCAAAAAGTTGACCAATTTTTATCATCTTACGCGTTGCGTGGAAGGCTCTGGAACGCCTCCCCTTCCCTTTAAATAACACTTAACACCAGCCGAAGGCTCTTTGCTTTGCTATCAATTTTCCCATAAAAGGAGGGCACCAAAGTCGTCGCCAATTTTTTAAACACTCAAAACAGTCTTCGCAAATACGTCGCGCTTGTTTTCGCCGGTGTAATATCAAAAAATCCCGTATTTTTTTTTGTTTTTTTGAGATCTAAGCGAAAATATATCTTTCAGAGATGGTGAGGCAACCTCAACGATCGATATGTGTAATTGGTGCTGGAGCCGCAGGCCTTTGCGCCACGAAACATTTGAGCGATGTTGGATTCAAGGTCACTGTGTATGAACAACAGGATCAGCTGGGTGGAACTTGGGTTTATTCCGACAAAACCAATGTTTTCTCGAGTTTGTATGAAAAAATGAAGTAAGTACGGCCTAGCAAACTGATTTTTAGCTGTGATATCCTTGGAAACGGGGAAAAAATCAGAATTTTTGGGAAAAGATGACCTACTTTCTAATGGATAATATTAGAAAGTCTCCGAAAGTGCCCATAAATTATCTTAAAGACATGCTGAGCACTCTAAATATTTTTCTACGTATTTTAGCTGTCAATGAAAACGGTGGACCATAATTTTTGCCATTCCGAAAGACGTAATGTCTTAAAGCAGGTTTCGTCGTATAAAATGTCACTTTTGTCGCTAACTGCTGATTTTTTCATTTTTTTGCAAGTAATGCGTTTTGAAAGTCTCACGGATCAATTAGGTATAATAGACAGTTACTTGAAACCTCTATTCGGCCTTTTATCAGCAAATTGTTTGATTTATCATCAAAACGTCTAGTATAATGTTAATTTTGCGACGTTACTGGGACAATTTCAAGTTTCTGTGGCCTTTAATCTATTTTGAATTTTAGTACGAACATTCCCAAAGAGATCATGCGATTTGAAGATCTTCCGTTTGATACGAAAGACGCCTCTTCTTTTGTTCCCCATCAAGAGGTCCTAAGGTATCTTCAGACTTACGCCAAGCCTTTCAAACACTTGATCAAGGTGAGTGAGAGCTTCTAGAATCAATCTAATCCTCTTTTGAGCCGAATGGAACCGTTTTTTCAAATTTGATTGTTTTCGTGGTGAGACCCAAAATTTTGACAAAAGCTGTTTAGTTTGGGTTTTTTGGGTCCTTTTTGAAATTTTGAAGACATCTTCAGACATTTACAATTATAAAATTTTTCCCAGTAATTTTTATGACCATGTTTTAACTTTCAGTACAACACCACCGTAGTCAAAGTCCAGCGAAACGAGAACGCCTGGGAAGTTGTGACTCGACCCGTCGACGCGATTGGAAGTGAAAACGAGGAGTCCCACGAATTTGACGCCGTTTTTGTTTGCAACGGACATTTTGCCGAACCAAAAGTTCCAGAATGTTCGAAGAAACTGAAGATCCCATGGATTCATTGTCACAACTACAGACGGCCTCACGGCTTTGAGGGAAAGAATGTGGTCATCGTTGGAGGAGGGCCATCCGGGACGGATATTGCTATTCAAGTTAGTCAATATGCAGATACGGTAAGCTTGGATACCTTTTAAGGTTTTTTGGATCATTTTTGAGTGGTTTTGGATAACTTTGGATAAGTTTTGATACTGGTTTTAGCTCAAAAATAATTCTTATCAGTATTCAATCATCCAAGATTGTTTTTGTACTTTTTCGCAGCTTTTGACACATTTGGATACCTTTTGAGTGTTTTAGAGATTTTTGGATACCTTTTGAGGGTTATTGATACTGGTTTAGGCTCAAAAAATAATTTTTATCGGTTTTCACTTATCTCTGGCCGTTTTGGATACTTTTTCGCAGCTTTTTAAACTTTTGGAAACCTTTTGAGACTTTGGATCAATTTTGAGTGTTTTTTTTGGTTAACTTTATTTTAGTTTTGATGCTGTTTCATGCTAAAAAATAATTTTTACAGCCTTCTTTCATCCCCGACTGTTTTTGGATACTTTTTCACAGTTTTTGACACCTTTGGATCACTTTTGAAAGTTTTTAGCACCTTTACAAGTTTTCAGTTTGATTTTCAACGTATTTTACAATTTTTCCTTTGAAATATCTACATACATATTATCTATTTCCTTCCAGGTCCATCTCCTTTACAACCAGAAAAGTGAGTTCGGTCTCTCGTCGAACGTAAAGCCGAATGCCCGGCTGGCTGATGTATCCGAAAACGGTCGAGATCTCATTTTGGAAAACGGCCAAACCCTCGAGAATGTGGATGCGGTGGTGTTCTGCACCGGATACAGCTATGATCTGCCATTCTTCGACAGCAACGACAATAATAACAAGCCGTTGGTTCAGGTGGGTCAAGTGTAATATAATTTTTGTTAAATTTGCCAATAAAACTTTTAAATCTCAAGCTAAATAATTTTATTATTGCAGGTAAAGGGCAATGGCTCGTATATTTCCCCGTTATATCAACATATCGTCCATCCATTGTACCCAAATTCACTCTTCTTCATTGGGCTCTGTTGGAGTTTGATTCCTTTCGTTTGTTTCGATCATCAAATGCATTATTGTGTGGCATTAATGTTGAATCAGGTGCCGATTCCATCGCAGGAGGAGATGTGGGGATTCGAGGAACGGAGGATAAAGTGGGTTTGGTTTAAATTATACTGTAGTAGACATCAGATACCAAAAATGGAAAAAATGTGTCTCAAAGCTGGACAATTTCTAAAATCTGTCTTGTAGGACTCCTGTATGACTCCACAAACTGTTTTCAATAACAAAAATCCAGTTTTTCACCGTGTTTTACCCATTTTCGACATAAAACATGTTTCATCGTATAACATGTCCCAAAATGGTTAAGTCATCATTTTATTGGCTAAAATAGTATAGGTACTGATTATTAGGTTGAATTAGATGCGAAAAAATTTTTTAAGATCATAGTAAATATACTGTAACATTAATTACAGTACAAGGCGGGCCACTCGAAACTCCTAATGTCTTTTCAAGTATTTCTTCGCCAATAATGCACAAATTTCTATAAAATTTATATCAAATTAAAGCTGATACACCTCATTTCTTGTCCACAAAATATGGCCCGGCTAAGTTCACGGAAGCACCCGTACTGATCTTTTACATTTTCTTTCCAATTTTGGAGCCCGAAATCGGTGAAACTTATTAGAAAATTTTTGAAATGAAAAAGACAGGGCCATATTTGGCGGACAAGAAATGAGGTGTATCAGCTTTAAGTTGATATAAATTTTATAGAAATTGGTGCATTATTGGCGAAGAAATACTTGAAAAGAGGTTGGGAGTTTCGGCTGGCCCACCCTGTACTTTTAAGTACAAAAAGAAGTAAAAATAAATAATATTTTTGATGGAAATGAGCCTCAAAATCTATAAATTTTTATTTTTTTTTAGAGAGCTGAAAGAGAAGGGCGAGCCAATCAAGTTCTTCCACAGAATGCACAACGCTCAATGGGATTACTTCGAATTGCTCTCCAAACTCTCGAATCGCCCTCACAAGATTGCTCCGGTCGTCCGAAAACTCTACGATCATGTTCATGTACAACGACAGACCTCGTTGACCACCTACAAAGCCCACCGCTACAGGATAATCAACGATGAAGAGTTTGAATTCATCCCAGTTCAGGAAGAAGTGTTTGATTAGAGCTCATCTACTAAATATAATATCAGGATTTTTGTAAGGAAAAAAATGTACATTGTTCTCTAAGTTTTGGTAAAAATAATTTTAAATGTGATAATCGACGTTGATGAATAAATTTATAAGTTTTGCAAGGGTTTTTAGACATTCGATGTCTAGTGTAATATAAAAAATTCTTGAGTTTTGATGACATGTAAGTTACGAATTGATAGTAAATCAATGTAATGGGGTTTACACCCCTTCTCCAACGTATTTTACCAATAAAATTTTAAAAATTTGACCAAAAACTTCAATTTTTACCTAAAATGCTTTCAAAAATATGTTTGAACAGTGTTTAAAAAAAGAAGACGGTCCGAAATACACTAAAAAATATTTTTAAAACAGTCAAGACAACGCTAAAATTAAAAAAAATACTAAAAAAAGAAGATGCCCAAGACAGGAATCGAACCTGTGTCGCCACGGCCACAACGTGGAGTACTAACCACTATACTACTTGGGCCGGCAGCTCAATCGCGAAATTTCGGCGACTATTCAGCCTGTCTCTGTTCTAATATGAATATCTCATTAATTATACGCAATAACCATCAGAAAACAGCGATTTCGATCGACAAACAGCAATATTCTCCACCGGACAGCCAGAAAAAAGAATAATATTCAAGAATGCAACAGTTGATTCAAGTTTTCCACATCGAGTCAAGTCTTTCCCTCACGTAACTTTACTTTTTCTCCGAGAAGGCTGCAGAAGATGCTCTCTAGAGAGAGCATCAATCTGCGATACTCTGGTACTTTTTATTTGCTGGTATCAACTTTATTTTGTATTTTACACACATTATGATCTCGGGATTGGGGCCGCTTAAAAAGCGATTTGACTTTGACGAAGAAAAGGATGTTTTGGGCACGGGGAACTTCGGCACTGTCTACAGAGCCTTTGACTACAACACAAAGAAGATGGTGGCACTGAAAATTATGGAAAAAGGGAAGAGGCTGGAGACGAATTGCAAAAGCAAGTTGTTTGGCTATTTTCTTTGGATTTTAGGTGAATGCAAGCAGAATTTGGATAGTTTGGGCGTTTTTTAGCAGTCGTAAGCTGTGCCATAAGTTTTTCGAGCTATTTTCTATTGATTGAGACGTTTTTTCTTTGATTTTTCGAGAGCGTTTGCAAAAATTGTATTGTTTTAGGTAACGGATTTTGTAATTTTTCTTTTGAAGTGGTATTTCACAAGATTTGTGAACCAATCACAGAAATCCTATCTTTAGATTATTTATCTTGTCTTTATTTATGTCTTTACAACACCTTCTTCTGTTTCAGACGAGCACAAGCTTCTCCAACAGCTTCACCATCCCTTTATTATACGGTTGAATTGCGTCATAGATGAGGCAAAATATATGGTTATGGTGCTTGAACTGGCATGGGGAGGAAGTTTAGGGTCAGAGCTGAAGGAGAGATCAGCTTTGCACAAAAAATTTAAGAAGAAAACAAAAGGGGAAATAAATGGAGAGATGGAGAAGGTTTACATGGATTTTGATCGGTTGTCCATGATTTTTATGCAGGTACTTATGTTCGATTCAAGTCTGTACTTATTGCTACCTGATTAGCCTGAAGTTTTTTTGTTTTATTTTGGGCTTGAATATTATAAAACAGCTGATGTTACACTTGATATAACTTTCTGAAAACTAATTTATTGTCATGTAATATTCGGTTTATAGTTTGTTAATTATCTACATTTTCAATTCTAGATAGTCTCGGCTGTTTCCTACATCCATTCAAAAAGATTTATCCATCGCGACATCAAGCCCCAAAACATTCTTTTTATGGACCGGGATCAACGATTTGTCAAGTTGGGAGATTTTGGGACGTGCTGTCGACAAGAGGACTCCAAAGCCAAGAAATTGTTGATAGGAACGCCAGCCTACATGGCTCCGGATGGGTTCTGTGGTAAGTTATTTACATTATACTTGAATTTTTGATGTTTAGATGGAAAAATGAAGTTAGAGGCGCAATTTAATAGATAGAATTGGTAAAATACGCTGTCATTAGTGTCGGCGGTATATTGTTTGTCCGATTCTCGCAAAAATAGTTCACGTTTTTTGGGTTTTTTCTTATTAATAGGGAGAGGATCTAAAATAAGGTAATTCTTGATGGTTTCAGGCGAAATTACGACGGCATTCGATTGCTGGTCTCTTGGTATTGTCCTCTACGAGATGATTGAGCTTCGGACCCCATTTGAAGGCGTCACCCACACAGATTATTGGAGAGTCGACAACTTAAATGTGAGTGAAATTGGGTTCAAAAATAATTTTAGAATTAAGAACATGTGCAGGTAAAATACGATCCATGTATCCTAAGTTTATTTTCATTGAGGCTGCTTAAAATAGGTGAAAAGTGGCAAAAATTTTTATATTATAATAGGTCTAAAATTTAATTTTTAAAATTTCAGATCGAATATCGGCACTATCGCGAAGACACCCCCGAACTATTGAAACAGCTTGTATCCAGGCTAGTCTGTGAAGTTGAAAACCGATTATTTAGTCATCGTAAGTCAGAATTTTATATTATACTTGATGTTATCCTTAAATTTATTGACTTTAATTGTAATACTCAGTTATTTAAAACTAGTATATGCTCATAATTTCGTTTTAGACATCCCTCAGCACCCATTCATGCAACGTTTTGCAAAGGAACTCCAGCTTTTGACAATTTGAGATATTTTATCTACTTTTTTCATAGCCTCCGGTCTCATAGCTAATAAACAATTTTCGTGCCCGATTACTATTCATTTCGTTGCGATAGAACTTTACAAAGTGAGGGGATCCATCTTTTCGGTTGATTTTCGGCACAGAGAAACAATTGACCCATAATCTGATTTTGGGACAAGTCTTTTCCCGAATTAAAAATTCTCGCTAAAATCAGAAATTTGAAAGATTTTGGGCAAACGAATGCACAAATTGGTGATCTATACGACTCGAGGGACAGTTTTGGACACTAGAGATTGTCAGCCAGCGGCAACACTCAAAGAACTCATCGGAAATGCTCTAGGATTGGTCAAAATTCGGCTCGAAGATGTCTGCTGTCTCAAACGCCAAGGAGAAGATGGGAAATGGCTCAAAATCTCGTGGAAAGAGGAAATACCCAAACGAGACTGTGTTTATCAAGTCACACGGGATCCACTGAAGGTACATATTCCCTTTTTATTGTTTTATGAGTTTAGACACGACTGAAACATCGAGTTCGAGTAGTGGATTATGATGGAGAAGAAATCGGATTGATCCCGACGAAATCTGGCATTGTGGTGCAGAAAATTGTTAATGAAGTCGTCATGTCCCTCGGAGTTGAAATGAAGAACGTTTTCATTGTGGAAGTCCTTAGGGAAAACCGACTTCTCGGTGTGAAATTGACGGGAAGGATAAAAAGGGAGGAAAGATTAGTAATCACCTTGGATTTGTTGGAAAGAGTAAGAATTTTATGTTACCAATAGGTTGTATATGCTAATTAATCGACTACTATCCGTTTTAAACTGAGTTGGAGTTGTCTTTGTATAAAATTTATCTACTACAATATAATTTTTCTACAGGACGCGGTCGAAATCGATGCCGGTGAGCCAATCCTGCCTAAATGTCTTACAATTCTCAAACTGGACGAGATGTTGTCGCAGTATCAACATGTGAGTCACTTTTTTTTGTTTTTCTGATGTTTAGATCCGTGACGATTGACGTTCGTATTCTACCCACCTTTATTTAGAGACTTGGAAGACATGGTATTAAGTCGGTAACGAATGCGTTGGACCCAAAAGAAGTCCTTTCTCGCCTAAAGGCAGGAGAAGCGATGACCGATTCTGAGAAGCTTTTAATTTCCAAATGCGTAGCACCACCGTTACAAGAACATTGCTTCAAAAGAGATTCCCCATGGCGAAGGGAAATTCGGCTCTATTTGGCCAATCTCTTCGCTCCGTATCCGCAGCTTCATATTGTAAGTGTAAAATAAAATATTTTTTGGTTTTGGATCACAGAGAATATTTAAAGTCTGTAGAAACAAATTGAAATGGTAAAAAGTTTCGTATTTTACACTTTTAGCCCGATTTTGTCTCGGAACACGATACCAAAGTGGAGATTAATGTGCTGGAGAAGGTGATGATTGCCAATTTGGTTAAAAAAAAGGAAGCTAGACGGGCTAGAGTCATGAAACTTCTCAAGAGAAACAACAAAGGCCTTTCTTGAAATTCTGTAATGGCATTTGTCAACAGACTTACCTCATGTAATTTTTTGTTGATTTTTTGTTTTTTTATGAATAATATTGTTGAAAATAGACTTAGATGGCTTTAATACCTCTATTAAAACTTTATCTTAGTCACAGGTTGACGACTTACCGCATTTTTTATCATTTACCGCTCAGAGAAACACTTGACCCATCGGAGGCCAAATGGGTCAAGTGTTCCTCTTGCTGGAAAAAGTCGACGAGTTATATTGCAACTCTTTAGTAACGATAAAAAATCGCAAATCAGTCACAAACTTCCCATGAATTTCCGGAATTTATTTTGAAATGCTGCCATTTGTAAACGTTATTGGTCGGCTTGTAACCGAATATAACGTAGATTCTTCGGACTTTATGGACTAAACACCAGATCTCTTAACTCCTTTAGCGGCTAATCCAATTACTTTGGTTCACCTGATTCTCTCAATACAATTCGAAATCCGATAAACGTAAAAATGTCAGTTTATTTGACCACTTTAAACACGGTAAACTCGCAGAAGACGTAATACAATAAAGCGAAGTGAAATATTATAAAGACAGAGACTAATACAAAGGGAATAACTTAGACTAATTTGAAGGGAGAATAAACTAACTCATCGATGTCTTCACTTTCGAATACTGTTTGATTCAATGTTTTTTCAGCTAATTTGAAATACGAAGCCTGGTCGCTCAAAATGGTTCGCGGGAAGCCGTATTTTGCTGATAGTATCTGTAATGATTCTAGGAATTCTTTTGCAGATATGGTCTTTGAAAGATGGAGATTTACTGCTCTGGTTGCAAGGCATGTATATAATGTGATGTACGCTTTTTCGTCTCCTTTCAAGGCGAATGGACCTGCAATATCGACTCCGATATCATTGAATACGTAAGTGATATTTGTTCTACTTGTCGGAAGGTTTGGAAGGGGATTGGGTGGGTAAAACCTTTGTCTGTCAACAGAACAGTTGATGCAGGATTTTATAATCAACTGCGTAATTACTTTTGATGCTCTGGGAACCCAAATTATTTCCCGAAGAGCCGCTAACGTGGTTGAGGAATTCATGTGACCCCATGTTTCATGTAATTCTCGAATCATGATGGGTATTAGGTCGGCTTTTTGGTGTAAGAAGAAAGGATTCTTTTGTCTGAATTGATAAGATGCGTTTTGGATTCGTGTTACTACGATCCAATTGCTGTTTTGGTCGCGATGGAGGTTTAAAGATCGGATTTGTACTTTACTCGGGGGATGCTGTGTTTGTTCGAGTTTGATTGCTTTTTCAAACAATGTCATTTTCTCAAATGGTTCGGATTTTAAAGCATTGACAAGGTCATGCTTGTCGACAAATTCTTGAAGAGATGGAATGTTTCGATTCTTGACTAAATTATCCCAAAATTGTCTATTTTCAGTTGAACCAGCATCTTCCAATACGAATATCGGAGTCGGTTCAACGTCTCTGTCGAGGTCGTCTGACTGTTTAATTCGAAACGATAAGTTCGAGTCGATGAGATCTGAATGAATTTGAGGAGGACCATTTAACCAAAGAGGATTTGTTTTCAACTCTTCAAAGGTGCAGCCTCGTGATGCGATGTCTGCTGGGTTGGAAATGCCAGAAATATGACGAAAACACATGTTAACTGGGGCTAAGGTATGTATCTTTTTGACTCTGTTATTTACAAATCGAGTTTGGTTCGATGTAGTGTTCTTTATCCAGTTAAGAGCGATTTCCGAATCACTCCATAAGTATAACTCGGAATTGAGATCTTTGAGGCACCTAAGTACTGTTAATAGAACCCGGAGTCCCGTTTCGATTGCTAATAACTCTAATTTGGGAATTGTTTGTGATATATGTGAAGGAATCAAGTTACTCTTAGCTAATACAAAGGAGACTGTATTATTTGCTGACTTGATGTATATCACTGCGCCGATTCCGTACTGACATGCATCCACAAACGTGTGAATACTGTACGGAGGTGGCCCAATATAACGGGGAATTGTAATGGGAGATTGATCCCAAGTTTGTATAATAATTTCGAGCTCTTGTTTGATCTCAGAGTCAAGTTTCTTTGCCCAGATTCCTTTAGATTTCGCCAATTTTTGATTTAATCTTTTAAGTGGCAATAATGCTGGTGAATACAACCCAATTGGGTCAAAATTTTTCATTTGAAATTTCAATGAATCTCCATTGACCTCTAATTGGTTGGGAGGACCTTTTGGGGTTACAATTATGGAATCTGTATCTCGATTCCATTGAGTACCTAATATTTTTTGAATAGGTTCCGAAATCTTATCTTTTTCATTTAATTGTGTCATAAGTTTTTGACTGTTTGAACAAAATTCTCTTAAATTCATTCCTGCGAGTGTAAATATATCTTTCAGCTTCAATCCGATTTGAGTCAACTTTTCCTCCGAATCCGATCCGAAGAAGACATTATCAACATATAATGAAGAAAGAATCTCTTCAAGTTCTTTGGTACCCAACTCTTCAACGTACTGGCTTAAGTGATGATGAATTACTGTTGCTAACAAGGAGGGACTACAAATAAGGCCGAAGGTAACCCGACTGAATCTATATATTTGTAGGTTATCATATGATAATGGTTTGGAGGGGTCTATCAACCACAGGAATCTCGTGGAGTCTCGATATTCTTCGATTAGGTCGATCATCAAGAAGGCTTTCTCAATGTCTGCTGTAAGCAGATACCGATGTTTTCTTGCCTTTATGATTACATCAATGAGATCTGGTAACAGCGTGAACCCTTGGTTCAGTGTACTATTCAATGATACCCCTTGTTTATCCCTTGCTGATGCGTCAAATACATTTCGAACTGGTGTGGTTGGGTGCCCTGGTCGTTCGACAGGTAAGTGGGGAATGTAACGGCACCGTTTTGTTAATTCATTTTCTTTTTGACATGGTTCAATTATGCCTTTTTCGAGGTATTCCACAAAGTTATTGTGGTATGCTTCTTTTAAGTGTGGTTTGTTTTCGAATGTTTTTAAAATATGGTATAATCTACCATAGCATTTTCTAAATTCTGAGTCGAATTTGATATCTTTGTCTTTAAAGGGGAGAGGAACTGCGTATCTGTTTGTGACTGGATCTTGTTTTATATTGTCAAGCACAAATTTAAACGTTTGAATGTCTGACTCTCTTTTGCTTTCGTTGTCTTCTTTTGTGATTCCTATGGAATCAGTCCAATTACTATATTTTTGAAGTTCGAATTCTTTTAGTGAATTAAATGGATCCTCATGATGATTATTTTCAGGCCACGTTACCATGAGATGAATTTCTAATGGATCCAATGATTTTGAACGAATTTGACTGACTTCGATTTTACCGATGTTTGTGACGGCCACTCTGGATCCTGTTTCTGATATCTGATCAGTAAGAGTGAGATTAATGGCGAAAGCTCCACTTGTTCCGAGTATCAAATCGATTTGTACTGGAAATGCTGTGCCTTTTAGTTCGTCGTGAACAATGTCATCCACAACTGTTACTGGAATAACGATGGGTTTTGTGTCTTTGGTGACTCGATCTTTTTTTGCATGGAGGGTTACTGTGGTATCAAATGCGGGAGTTATAAGTGTCCCCGTAATGGTTTTTAGATGCAAATTTGTTTGATTACTGATGGGTATATGGAGTTTATTTGCGATGGATTTTCGTAACAGATTTCTTTGGCTCCCCGTATCAATAAATATATTTGACAATGTTTTACTATCATCGGATTCGTGGCTAATTAAAGCTTCGATGCAACAGAATCTGTCTGGTTTTTGTTTATTGTCTTGGATGTTATGTGTCTCTGCTACTATATGGGGAGTACTGCTGGTGTGATTACTCGAGCTTGGAGTGGTTAGAGTATTAATACTTAACTCTGTTTGGATGGGTCTGGTTTGATTTGAATTCGTTTGGAAAGGGTTATGATTTGACCTTAAAGGTGTCGAATTTGGAATGCTTCTTGTGTCTCGTGTGTTAATGTGACCGGCCTCGCGTTTAGCGTTATTAAAACAGAGTGCCGTATTATGTTTCTTTTTACAAGAAAAACACGATATATGCCTGGTACAGTCTTTTGTACTGTGACCTTGTTGAAGGCATGAGAAGCATCTTTTGTTATCTTTTATCCATTGGACACGATCTTCGTGGTTAGGATAAGTCGAACACTGAGAAGTTCGATGATCTTTGGAACAAAATAAGCAGGTAGGTGTGCTTTGAGATTGGGGTTTGTAGTCTTTGACTGGTTTACGTTCACCCTTTACTATTACGTTATCTGAGTCGTCATCTAGATCTCTGGCTGTTAAATGAATAGCATGAATTAGTTCTGTTACTGTTTTTCTATCTAACTTGTTTTCAGCTAGTGTGGACTTTATTTGTAGTCTGGATGACAATGGCATTTTTTTGAATGCGTGATTTATCATGTGAGGTGGGATTTCCGTTTTATAATGAGCTAATTGGTCGTGGATGGAAAGTAATTCGTCACCGTATCGTCTCATGTCTCTTGCGGACGATTCTTTTGGAGGTCGAATTTTTTCCCATTTGTCCATCCACGTGGAAATAATGTTCTCATCGTCACTGTAACGATTTCTCAAGATTTGAATGGCTGAATTGTAATCGGGTTCAGTTAATCTACGGTTTTGAACTATGCCGAACGCTGACCCATTCTTTAAAGCTCTTTGTAATTTTAACAATTTATCAATTGCTGGGACTTTCTTATTATGTATGTGATAGCTCCAATAGTCCCAGAATGCTGGGAAGTCCTCTACTTTTCCCGAAAACGTAGGGATATCTTGGTCTTTTGGGAGTTTGTGTTCCGTACTATATGTCCAACTGGGGGGTCCGCAATGAGGATACGGAGGGTATTTCTGATTTTGATTGGGATCTGGATTTGGTTCGTTACGATCCTGTATGTACCCATTGTTATTTATGTACGGGTGATGTATGTAAGGATTATCTTCTCTGAGATGCGCCTGATTTTGGCAATGTAGGGTCGGTCCTGCCGCTCCCGTAATATAACTAGAGAAGTTACTCGAAATCGGTCCTGCCGATTCGATGTTAAATTGATTATAAGTAGGCCCTGATATACCTAATGGATAACCCTGTTGGTATGGATTGTAATGTCTAAATCCGTCATGATTTGTGTAATTTGGAACTGAATGTTCGATCTGGTGTTGATCTACGACTCCTTTTTGATGTTCCCCTGGCATGTGTGGGTAAGCCTGATGGACCGGAGGTGCTCGATTGACTTGAGGGGTATTTGGAGTTAGATAATGACTTTCCTGAGTTCTGGATACTGGAGTTACTTTAGATTTAACGAGATTTCTGTCGGAATAGGGGAATTGGTCTAACGATATCAAGCTCGATTCTGATTTGCCTATAGGATTTTGGTTAACCGGAATATTCAAGTTCATGGCTCTTTGTATTAGCTCATTGAATGGCGAGTCTCTCGGCGCTTGATTGGACTGTTGTGGGAACAGTGTATGACGTGTGGAAATGTTCTGCGTGGCTCTGTTTTGGTCAGATGAAAGAGGGTCTAACTGGAGTTCTGCGATATCTAGTTCTATCTGATCAATTTCCTCATCTTCTGTATCTTGAGGTTGAATCTCTGCCAACGAATCGGATAAGCTAATGGCAATATCTCCAAAGATGTCAGGAGTAACCTTGATGTCTAACTTGTGAATGTCAATAATGTTTTTTGTGCGTATTTGCATTTTACTGAAAAGTGAGCAAATGTTCATGTACTTTTTAGACTGTGTGTATTCATGCAGTTTTTGCTTCTCATGTTCTGCATTTATATGTGGGGTGTTTTCAATGTGTTCATTCCAATATTCAATGCAACTATCAACTGTGGCCTTATATTTGCCTACTGATTCAAGGATGCTTATGATCTTTTTCACCTTACTCTCTTTTTCAGTCTGAGTTTTTGTGTTTCTACAATTTTCTTCGACCGACTCAATACAAACTGTTAATCCGGAGAGGCGTTCTATTAAATAATTAATTCTTTGAGAGATTCCCCTTCTTATAAAAGTCGTGATCAACGTGTTCGTTTCCTGATCAACCGGAATTTGAGGAAACATTCGCTCTCCCGCTGGGGTCGAGGTTCTTGGTGATGCCCCTTGTCCTATTTCCGTGGTCGCCATGTAAACGTTATTGGTCGGCTTGTAACCGAATATAACGTAGATTCTTCGGACTTTATGGACTAAACACCAGATCTCTTAACTCCTTTAGCGGCTAATCCAATTACTTTGGTTCACCTGATTCTCTCAATACAATTCGAAATCCGATAAACGTAAAAATGTCAGTTTATTTGACCACTTTAAACACGGTAAACTCGCAGAAGACGTAATACAATAAAGCGAAGTGAAATATTATAAAGACAGAGACTAATACAAAGGGAATAACTTAGACTAATTTGAAGGGAGAATAAACTAACTAAAGAGGGACAATTTAGCTATCTAACTAGACAAATTAATACCTAAAAGGGACAAAATAATACTATCTAAACAGACAAAATAATACTATCTAAACAGACAAAATAATACTATCTAAACAGACAAAATAATACTACCTAAAAAGGACAAAATAGCACTATCAAAAGGGACAAAATAATACTCAAATGGTATCTAACCTAAACTAAATAACTACTAAATAAACAAATGCAACTCAAACCAACTGTATCTCACCAAAGCAAAAACCACACTCCTTTTGTTCAGCCAAAAATCCTCGTGTTGTTTTGTTGACGTGGCTTCTTCTTCCTCATGGTTTTCGTGCTGGGACCCTTGTGTCTAGATAGTGTACCACTACACCATTTACGCCTTTCTTTCTACACCATGAGATCGGTCGCTTTCTCCGAATACTTGATTTTCTCGCTGCTTCTGATCCAGGAACTTCCATCAGCAAGCCAGAATGCTCCCACAACCAGCTCAAGTCCTCCTGTAATTCCAACAACTGCGCCTCCACAACCAACAACAGTGTCTGAAGTTACGGACGCTCCAACTGAACCAAGTGTGCCTCATACGGGCACTTCGAGCAGAACCACAAGACACACTGGATCTACAACTCCCTACGATAACATCTCTGACGCCACAACAGCTTGGACGGAGCCCACAACAACCAGTGAGTATGTTACACATGATGGAAGAATTGGCCAAGCGATTCTGGTCCTCTTGTCCTGCCTGGGAATAACTCTCGGCGCTGTAAACATGATATTTGCGTGGCTGATGGTCTGGGAGTTCCGATTGAAGGAAAGTTTTACCATTTTTTTTACTTGATATTACACTAGGCCAAGTGTAATATAAATTGTATCTTTTTAGCATACACTAAGAGTCCGAAGTGTTGTGGAGAAACTGGAGTTGGCCGACAAGCGAATGGGCAAACGCGCCTTCTCCGACGAGATCCTGGGCCTGCTCCAGTCCATCGGCTTCGACGCCAATAAGTATGAAGCCGAAGCCAGCGCTTACATCAGTCAATTTAACAGCCAATATTAGTGGGGTTTGAATAAAAATTTTTTTTGGTTGAAAAATGCGACAAATTTTAATATCGAATTTCGTAGATTTGATGACTAATCAAAAAAATGTGAAAATAACAAAAATTTGGATTTTTTTCGAGGCAAAAATAAATTTTAATTGTAAAATACGCGTTTTTTTCGAAATTTTTGCCCTAAAATCATCAAAATACCCCAAAATATCCCTCAAATTTTTCCCCAAATCCCCAAAAAAATCTCCAAAACTTTAGTTAAATATTCATTACGATTAAATCTATGGCCTCAACATCTCATAGCTTGATCTGACATAATATTTCGGGCAAGTTTTTGATTAGTTTCGGCCGTTAAATACTCGATTACAACACTTATTTAATAAAAGACGATCCGTTTTTTCATTTTTTCCGTAAGACGAAAGCTTTTTTCGATTATAAAACAGTAGGGGGCGGTGTGAAATACAGTAATCCACATTTCTCAAAAAAAAATTTTTTTTAATTTTTAAAATTTTTTTACATCGAAATTTTGATATTTTTTTAAAAAACCTAGCCAAAATCGCAAAAATAAAGTTTGTTATAGGTAAAAAAACTCCCTATAACGACCAAATTTACCGTAAATTTATATTTTTCATCAGGATTACTCCATTTTTCACCGCTTTTTTTACTGCGAAAAACCCGAGAACTAGACTAAAAGTGCTGCGAAATTGTGAAAGTTAACTGGAAAAGGAGAGAGTGACAGCGAAACGAGAGAAAGAAACAACTGAAAGAAACCATGGGAGAGGGGGAAAGAATGACGAGAGAGGGTGCAGAGAAAGAGAAAGAGGGAGAGACTTCTCTGGTGAATATCCGATATAACGACCACAAAATACAATGCTTTATGAACCAGAAAATTCGGACAAAATGATCGAAATTCGGGAAAAATCGTCACGAGGACAAAAATTTGCGGGAAATCCGCCATAATGACGTCATTTTTTGGTTGATTATAAAAAAATGTGAGAGAGAACAAGGTAATTGTTTGAATATCCATTGGGATGAGTATACTTTATGCATTTCGAGGGCGATCAAGGTTTTCGAATTGGCGAGCTGCGCCCTAGCGTTCGGCCGATTTTTGGCTTGATTGATGAATAAAAATGTTTTTTCATCAAATAATCTACCCTCAGCCATCTAACAGTCTATTACAACTAAAAAAATCCTGAAATCCGCAAAAAAAAATCCGCAAGCTGCGCCCGAGGAAACCCAAAATTTCGCATTTGCAACCAAAATATCAATATAAAAAGCCAAATATTAGCCGGGGAACACAGAAATGCCCACCAGTTTCCTTGATCACATCGATTTACATTCAAAATAAAGAGAAATTCAAAAGATTTAGAGCGATTTTCTGAAGATTCGGAGCTAACGAGACTCGGGGGGATGGATTAATTAGATGGGGGACTGGGCTGGGTGGAAAGAACCTGGGTTGTTGTTACATGAGCTCTTCGTACAGCTCGTCCTCGTCGTCGAAGGTCACCGGGTTGAAGGCGCTTTCGTTGTGCGGGTCGTCCTCGTCCCCGTCCTGCGGCGCCCGCATGCGCGGTCGTCTGGCGATCGCGAACTCGGGCAGCGGATGGGACTGGGGGTTGGCGGCGCGCTTCCGCGGCCCGGTCACGCGTTCGGCGCGATGGCGCAGAGAGCAGCGGAACTCCTTGACGATCGGGTATATCTTCTGGATGGCCTGCATTACACCCTGGGCGGAGGTGGCTAAAAAACAAAAAAATTTTGGGGGAAAATGAAAAATACGCCATAATTTTTTCCGGAGTTGGACGATTGGGGAAAAGGAATTTTTGGGAAACCGAAAAGTATTATTTTTCGTCGATGCAAGTGTAAAAATTAGGATAATCGAGGGTGCTGATTGCGAAAATGACATTCATTTTTTTTGATCTTTACTTTTTTCCTTAAGTAGTACTGTAAAATAGTAATTTTTTTTTTAATTTTTTTACAAACACTCGATTTAGGGGGTTTCGACCCTGCTGATTTCGAAAATCTTATTCATTTTTTCTGATTTTAAAGCAGCACCATCGAAACCCCCAAATCGAATATTCATGAAAAAAATTAAAAATTACTACTTTACAGTACTACTAAAGGAAAAAAAGTAAAAATCAAAAAAATGAATGTCATTTTCGAAATCAGCACCCTCGATTATCCTAATTTCGACACTTGCATCGAAGAAAAATAATGTTTTTCGCTTTCCACAATCGTCCCAGTTCCATTTTTTTCTAATCCCAAAAACAAGAGCTAGCTTTCAATTCCCATCACATTTTTTCCATTTCTCCGAACAATCATCAAAATTCCACCTAAATTCAAAAAAAAATATATATATAAAAATCCATACCTCCAGTGACCGTAATACTGCCAGTTGTATGTATTCTCAACGACGCTTTCGGCTCCGTGAATTTCCAAACCAATCCGACCGAGAGTTCGGGTTCATACTGCGCTTCCTTGTACTTGGCCGCCATCTCCTCAATCTTCACGCCGAACGGGAGACGGCACGTCGCCAGGACGTTGCATATTTTGTAATCGCGCAGTCGAAGTTGTGCGTCCAGTAGTCCCATCGAGCGCTGGATCATTCGACCAACAGAACGAGCGGCGCGGCGACAGTCGTCTTCGCTGAAAAAATAGGGGTTTTTGGAGGGAAAAAATGAAAGTAAATTGTAAAATACGGTATCCCCAATTATGATTTTTAAAAAATATACTTCAAATAGCTTGAAAAACCTAGTAATAAAAGCTTTCTTCAAGAAAATACCAATATTTTGAGAAAATTCCAAAAAAATCCACCTTGCTCATCAAGCTGATATTATTTTTTTAAAATGACCCTAAGTAGATATAAAAATTAAGGTAGACAATCGCAAACAACAGATTCTGAATCTATTTAGACATCTTAATATACTCTAACATCAAAGTTGAGCCAGAAGCCGACAAAATTTTATCAAAACATTACTTTATCCACATACCCCCAAGTTTACGAAAAATTGTTAGAAACTAAGCAAAAAGTAGCTAGATTATAATAACCTCTTGTCGCTTAGCATTAGACATCATAGTCCTTCTATTAAGCTATTTATCCCATCAACCATCCATCTGCATCCCATCGAAAACCTCCTCTCAACTTCACCTACCTCCTACAACCCACGATGTACACGTTCCCGCTGCTGTACACCTTCACATGGCACTGTGGATTCCTCTTTTGTTTGTAGAGCACACCACGGTCCCGGTCGAACGTCACATTCCCGCTATTCATGGCTACCTTCCGGAGATCAATGTGTAATGGCAATGAGTAGTTGCAGACCACGTTCCGAATCTGAAAATATGTAATTTTTTATCTTGTTGATGTGTATTCGTAGTATTTTTGATTTTTTTTCTTTGAGTGGCATGGCTTTTGAGTGATAAAGAGGTCTAGCCTCTGAGAAGGACATATGTTTCGAGTATAAATCAAAAAAGATAGTATTTTGGCGAAATAAAAAGATCGGAAATTCATGTGGAAAAAGCTTCTCTCGTGACTCCTCAAGAATCATAAGTGTTATATCTGGCATTTTTTCTCGTATAATCAACAACAAATTTGAAAAAATACTTAAATTTCAAATTTTGCAAAGAAATTTTGAAATTATCGGCTTCTTCAAAAATCGGTCGGAATTTCCGAAAACCGACCATAAATTTTACTAATTTATAGCTTCACACTTCCTTCAAGGTCTTCTTCTGCTTTTCCTAAACTTAAAATACACACAAAAAAAGAGAACATACCTGAATGTCGATTTCCTCACTTTCGACATTGGGCGCGTCCTGGCTGGTGGAGGGATTGCCTGGAGGCGCGGGTTCGGTGCGAGTCTGGTGAGTTTGGGTTGGAGGAGCCAAGCAGTACATTACTACAAGCATTACAACTTGATTTTGCGGGGAAAAGTCGAGTCTTTCATCTCTCGATATTATCCATGGTATTAGATGGAGAAAGGGAATAACAGGTTGGGAAAGAAGCAAAATTACCGAGAACGTGGTAAAAGACGTTCTCGAGGAGGTTTTTTGGCGTAATACTTGGCCAAAAACATCAAAATTTTCCCCTATTTTTGATGTTACACATTGTTTTAGGTATGAATCATCAAAAAAGTCTCAAAATCATTGAAAATACCGGTCTATAATAGCCGCTCTTGAAAGTACACAACCACAAGACCCTCAGGGCAAGTATTTCCATCAAAATTTGAATAAAATAGAACGCTATCAATTTCATTTCGCCAAAGTTCACAACAAAGCCCTGTAAGGTCAATATACTTGGAGAAATTCAAATATTTACTCAACCAAACTCCAATAAACAATCCAAAAACATTTCGTAAACCCAAGACCGCCCAAATTACCATGTTGTACGAGCGGAACCCACGGCATTTCGCCCAACATTGCCGGGAAATCGACCAATTTCCGTGGAATTTTACCGAAAATTTGATGGTCCCCACGATTTTCGCCCCGTTTTATAGGTCTAGGCGTGGAAATCCGGCCTGATTACCGGCGGGTAAAGGGCGAGGAGTTCACCGGGAGCGGTTATTCATTGTATTTACCACCTTTTGTCTGCATTTTCACCTCAAAAAACGAGACCGACGAAATGCCGCCGAGAGAGGGCGCGAAAAGCGGAGAGCGGGGAGGGAAGCGGGGGTGGATGTCATAGAGAACGGGGAAGATGGTCAAGGTCGGGGCTGGTGGTGCTTTTTCGAGAAAAAGAATTCCTCCACTTTTTTTGATTTGGAAATATAGGGCGCGGCTCGCGCCGACGCCTTTATTTGGAACGTTTTCGCAGATGGGCGGCGAGCTGCGCCCTGCCTAATCATGGAAGGGGTGTGAAAATGTAAATCCGAAGAGCTTATTAGAAGCTTATTAGAATTGTCAATGGTTTTTTACACCAACTTACATCGTTTTTGACGTTCTTTCACCGACTTTTTTATTTGAATTAGACCTTGTGATGAAAATTTTATTTTTCCAAAATTGCAGTGACCCTAAGGGTATGATATTTCATACTGGTAAATTAGACCAATGTGGGCAGGTATATTCCAAAATTCAGCCAAATCCTCACATTGGCAAAAAAGTTACATCCATTTTAAATGTTCCAATTTTTGGACCTAAAGTAATATCCGAAAATTGCTGTTTTAATGGGTCAAACATATTTTTGATATGAGTAAATTGATGGAACGGTTAGTGTAGGTGTTTGGCGACATTTTCACCAGTAGAAACCCTCATTTTTATTTTTTATTTCACATTTCGCAATGATTTCGTTGTTTTTCCAATATTTATTACCTAAATCCTCTTTTTCACGTGTGTTTCCCCTCCAAATGATCTCTCATTTACCCTCGAATACCATGGATGTAATATCAAACAGTTTTATTGTACAAAACCTATGAAATGCTTTGTGAAAAAAGCCTTTATTACCTTGGCAAAAACAATTCCAAAGCGAGAAATTGGGAGAGCCGAAAATATTCCAATTTCGAAAGAAAAAAAGAGAGCAAGGTCTTCCTCAGTTTACTGGCTCGTCCGGCTTTTATACCCCCTTCCTGCTGACGAAATTTCGAAAGGCCGAATTTCAATGTTTTCGCGGTGGGACCGACTATTTTTAAATTGAAAATATGAGCGGATCAACGATTGTGGAGACTGTCGGTCATGCCATTTTGGTCTTATTTTTTTCAAAATTCGTCGAAATTTTGGCATTGCCAAGATTTTTTGGCATTGTGTTTCAAGAAGAAAACCGGAGTTTTCACCGAGATAAAAGCCGTTTTTGGAGAGGCCGAAGGTTCTGATGTGCAGTAGATTTCAAATCTTACATTGAAGAATAGAGAAAATCTTTAGGCCTATATTAAAATTTCCAAGTTTAATTTTTTTCGTTAATTCCAAGCGATGTGTTCCGAAATTTGTGATTACATTATCTAAACTGAGGTAAAATACGTCTTTTGATTCTTCGAGGATGCTTTTTATTCTTATTTACAAAATGTTTTATTTCCCCAATCTCTCCCCCAAAATTTTCCGATTTTTTGCTAATTCTATCTTTTTTGTTACCTAAAATAATCTCAAAACTTTTTATTTTCTCCGGAAGTGCTGGTAAATTACGCTATGACACGTTGCGTTACTTTTTATCTCTTCCCCCGACTAATTTTGGCCCATTTCCTGGCAAAAAAGCCCCGCTTTTCATCGAATTCCGCTACTTTTTTACTTGTTTTGCTTCCTTTTTATTGCCGTTTTGCCTCATTTGGCCCGCAGATTTTTGAAAGTCAAGTTTTATTTCGAATTCCGATATAAATAAAACTTTCAAACGGAGCTTTTGCATCACTTTTTTTCGAGTGTAAACAAAGAATAAACAAAAAAAGTGATGAGGCCAATTGTTTGGCGTTATAAACGTTCCATTTTTTGTGTAAAGATCCAGTTTTTGTCTCAATTTATTGCACTTTTATTCGTCGCACAGTGCGTGAAATCATCGCTTTTCAAGTTTGGTTTTTGGACTGCACAGTGCGAAAATTTTATTGTATTTTCTTGCACTGTGCGGTCCGAAATTAATTTTGAATGCACAGTGCAGAAAGCGCGAAAAAATTGCTCTTTGCACAGTGCGAAAAAACAAAAAAAAAAAATGATTGCACTGTGCAGAATTTTGAAAGATTGTTTTCAAAGTCCAAAAGACTTTTTTATTTCCAAAATTTGTCGCACTCCATCCGCGACATCTTTTCCGACCGCACAGTGCAGAAAGCGCGACAAAATTCCTCTTTGCACAGTGCGGAAAAACAAAAAAAAAAGTGTTTGCACTGTGCAGATTTTGAAAGATTGTTTCAACGGTCCAAAAGATTTTTTTCTTTCCAAAATTTGTCGCACTCCGTCCGCGACATCTTTTCCGACTGCACAGTGCAAAAAGTGCGACAAAATTGCTCTTTGCACAGTGCGGAAGAAACAAAAAGATGATTGCACTGTGCAGAATTTTGAAACTCCATCGGCGACATCTTTTCCGTCTGCACAGTGCAAACCCATCTTCCATTTTCCCCTCCGCACAGTGCAATGGGAAAGTTTCATTGCACCGTGCGTTCTTCGCGAATTTTACTGTGATATTCACATCTTGAAAGATCATAATGAACTTTAAATTTAAGCTCAAAATGTCCGCCTTTGCCCGTGAAGAGGAATATCTTCAATTTGCCCTGGAGGTAGTGAAACAAGCCGGTCATTTGGTGAAAACTGCGTTCTCGACCCCCGAAAGCAATGTGGAGACGAAAGCGTCGGCCACGGACTTGGTCACAGAGACTGATAAAGCCGTCGAAGAGCTGCTGATCAAGAGCATCTCCGAGAAATACCCGGATCATCAGTAAGTTGGCAAATGATGTCATGAATAATATAAAAATTTTGGAGGACTAGAGAAATTGATGTTGGAATATGAAGTATATTAAATACAGAGTAATTTCAGACCATTTGAGCTTCATTTGACCTTGTTTTACCCATTTTTTGCAACCAACTTTTGTCATGGATAATATAAAATTTTTTTATAAAAGCTGAAATTCATGCTGAAATAGTTGTAAAATTAAATGGAGAGTGATTTCAGACCATAAAAGTCTTATTCTACATTGGTTTACATCTTTTTTTCACCAATTTTTTCAATTTATTACCTATTTTTCAGATTTATTGGAGAAGAATCCGTCGCTGCTGGCAAACGTTCACCCTGGACTGATGCCCCCACTTGGATCATTGATCCGATCGATGGGACCACCAACTTTGTCCATCGGATCCCATTTATCGCGATTTGCGTTGGCCTCACCATCAATAAGGAGATCAGAGGTGGGATTGTTTACAACCCGATCACTGATGAGCTATTTACTGCGTTGAAGGGAAGAGGTGCTCTCAAAAATGGCTTCCCAATCCATGTCTCGAAAACTACAGGTAAGATTTTGAATTACGCACCATTAAAAAAATGTCACGATGACTGTCATCATGACATGGAGAATATCGCGGAAAAAATTGTTGATTTCAAATTTCAACGGCGTATTTTACTTTTTTAGACAACTGATTTTTTTTTTTGAATACTAGATTTCGCAAAAATATGTCATTATGACAAAATTTTTCGGTCATGATGACACATTTTTAAGCTCGGCGGGGAATTTCGGTAAATGGCTAAAAATGATCAGACTGGCCCAGAATGAATGTTTATATGCATTTTTGGTGTTATAGAATTCAACAAGGCGGTCATCTGCACCAGTCTCGGCATCCACAACATTGTGGAAAAGGGCCAGCAATGGCTGGAGACGGCCCTCGATAATCACCGCAAATCCGTTCAGAATGGCGTCCGAGGGTGCGTTTTTTGCTGTCTTGTGGATTTGTGATTGAAATTTCTCATTTTTGTAATTTGTTTTTTGGGTGTGTAAGGTGTAATATCAGTGAGATGTTGATGTGTCTGCGTGTGAATTGTGGTTTTCTGCGTCTATTTTTTGTTTTGAGGATGTGTCTGATGTTTGTGAGTGTTTTACGCACGTATTTGCCGATACGAAATTTGGGTTATATTGTGCTAGGTAGGCGAAGGTCAAAGATTACTAAAAATATGGAAAGAATGGTCTCCCATATCCTTGAAATGAATATAAATTTTGACAATAAGGCTTAAAGATTATGATAAACGTCAGTAATCATACAGTATGAAAAAAAGATAAGCAAAAATCACAAAAATTTTTTACAAAACTAAAAAAATCATCGAATTTTTTCGAATCCATTGATAGCCTTGGTGAATTTCAGCCCTGACCAAGGCCGTAGTCCTAGCCCAGCTCGGCGCCGATCGTTCTCCCGCGCAGATGCGCTCCTTTATCAATAACTTCACCGCCTTAATGGTCGATAAGAACATGCATGGGTGGGGTGTTTACTATATTTTTTGTGGTGCTAGATTTGCCTGTTGACAGAATAAGTAATTTACTTTCTAACTGTGGGGAGTTTTTTAGCCATAGATGAGTTTTTAGATTTAAATTTAATGGATATTGTTTTAGCCCCCTAAAATAATGTTTTGATGAGAAAATCGTTGAAATTTCTGTAGGAAATACGAAATCTTATATTAGGTATTATTTTTCATCCCATATTAAATCTATTTAAGCCTATCCTTTTTGTTTTGTATCGGATTTGCATTAAGATTTTCGGTGATATTACTTTAGATGTCCAAGTATCAAAAATAATCTTTTTTTGACTAAAATCTCACAGAATTTATTGTATAATGTTGAGTGTTGTATTCCGTATACTTTACAGTGCATGTCCATTGCATTTACTTCGCTCTAACTGCCGCATTTTCTCTTTCAGACACCGCGCTTTCGGCTCGGCCGCCATTAACATGGTCTACGTTGCGCAGGGCTCGGTAGATGCCTACGTTGAATACGGAATTCACTCCTGGGACATTGCCGCCGCCGCTATCATTGTCTCGGAAGCTGGCGGTGTTCTGATCGATCCCACCGGCACCTCATTCAACCTGATGTCGAGGAAAGTTTTGTGCGGCGCTTCGGAGCCCCTGGTCCAGGAAATCAGCAAAATCCTCACTCATGTCGAGTTCGAGCCCGAATTGTAAGGTGGATGTGGAGTGATCAAGGTGTTTTATGGGATATAGTCGGTCTTTAACTTATATTTTCCCAATTCTGACCCGTTTTAGAGGCCATATTATGTTACCCTAGCTTGGAAGATATTCGATTTTTTGAAGTGTTTTGTAGGCTATTTCTTTGAATAAATATTTGATCCAGAGGATGTCAGATGCATTCTACATAATTTTTCTTTACTATATTGATAAGAAGTACTAGTAAAAAAGTTCTAAAATACAAAAAAATAATAATAATTTATTGAACCTCACTAAAATTGAATAAATCGAAAAAATTAAAAGAATTGAGACTTTTTATCGGGAACTGATTGCAATTTAGAAGTCTTTAGGGTATCACAATAAAGTTAGAGCAATTTAGAGACGGTTAAAAGTAGAGAGACGGAGGGGGAACTCGGAAATTTTTTGTATAATCCTAACACTCATCAAAAATTCCATTTTTGACAAAATAAAGTTGAAAACCTCAACTAAAACTGCAGATTTCACGGTGAAAACTAAAAAAATAAGTAAATCACTATATCCAACGTCTGTATTCATTCGATTCACCGTGATATTACACTGACCGGGCTTTGGGGGATCTGATCGAATCTACTGTAATATAACTTAAGATGGCCGATAAAAAATGGGTCTAGATGGCAAGGGGAAGGGTGAGATGGTACAATGGGCTTCGTTATGGGGTCAGGAGGCTGTATTAACCTAGACTTTACAGACAATCTTCAAAACTTTGCGAAATAAAAAATTTTTAAAATCATCAAGTATAATATAATCAAACGTCCGCCACTCACTCAATCCTCAAAAACAAGACTTCAAAAGCCTTGGAATCACATCAAACGGCATCAACGGCACCGTCGAGTCGATCGAAGCCGCCGTTTGAAAGCATTCATTGGCCTGGTCGAAGATCTGTTGTTCGGCCAAAACGCGGCCCAACGCCTGCCAAACCTCTTCCCGGAGGGGGTCGATATTCACCGCGTCTCTGAGCATCTTCTCCGCCATTTTGGGGTTATTTTCCAAGCGGTAAAGTTGAGCCAATTGGATGATTGAGGGGATGTGAGTGGGATTTATGACCAGAGCGGCCAGAAACGAGGCGCGGGCTTCCGAATGGAGGGTCGGTTTGAGGTCCTCTGATACCTTGTCTGCTTGGGTTAGGAATACTCGACCCTGCAAAGCCAAAATTGATTAAAAATCTGTCTAATTCTCAAGGATAACATGAAAAAAATTAAAAATTTAAAATTTCAAGACCTAAAACAATATAAATCAATTTCCAAACGACAAAAACTATAACTTAAAATACTTTTCGTTCCTTCAAATCCCGTTTTCATATAAAACCAAGCCAAAATCCATCTTCAAAACCACTTTATATTCTCCTTCTCACCTTCAAATAAGTGGCCTGATAGCTGTTGGGAAATTGGCCATACGCCTCTTCAACACAAGCCTGAATGTCCGCCAGTCTGTTGGCTTCAATTAGGAGCTCGGCCAGTTCCACCCAGATATTTGCCTAAAATTAAAATCCAATAAAACAAAGCCGTCTTACGATTACCTTTGATCTAAAAGTATTGGTGGCCGACCACGCCAAACTCGAGCTGGTCCCCATTCCCAGGCTCTCCGAGACTGTCGAGGTTGCCGCTCCGTACTCCGACATCCTTGTTCCGATCGTATTCGAGGCGAGCTCTGAAATTTTAGACATAAAAATTGCAAACCAAAAAAAGCAAAATAAAAATAATAAAAAAATCAAGTTCAATATACCTGATATATCATTCACACTGGCGCTGATATTATGCACTGGGAGGTTGCTGATGCCGAGAGGGGCAGCGAGGAACGGGGCGACCGGCGCCAGACCGTCCTTCGTCAGTTGGGCCGTCGACTAAAAAAATGTAAAATACCTTTAAAAAATGGGGAAATTACAGTATCCAAAGTTTCCAAATTCAATAAAAAGCTTCTAATTTCTTTCTACAATACTTTCCTCTATTAATTTTACTCGCAACTTACACAAAAAAAAACAATTTTTCAAAAAAAAATCATCAAAAACCAAAACAAAAAATTCTCAAAAATTACAGTAACCCTAGGCTCCAAAATCACAGTAGACCTTCTCTGATTATAACTCTACCTATTTGAATCTAAAGCTCCCCAAATTTCCCCCTTATTCCCCAAAAATGACCTTATTTTACCTTGGTCTCCTGATTGCCTCCCCTTCCCAACGCCGCCGCTTCCCCATTTCCATTGGCGGTGAATCCGTTTTGGCCCTCCTCTTCGGTGACAAACTCGGGGATTCTCTGCCAGAACCTGAGCAGTTTACTGGACGTCTTGAAGGCCCTATCGACGCGTCCAAACTTGCTTTCCAGCTTCAGCCTCAGCACCATTAATCCGTAGTGATTGGGGAAGTTGGCGATGGCTTTTAGGACCAACCGCATGGCCGATTTGTAGTCGTGTTTGGCGGTGAATATGAGGGCCAGAAGCATTTGGGCCGAGACATTATAGGGGTTGCGATCGATCGCTTCTTCGCAGACTTCTCGGGCCCGCTGCAGATTCCTGGCCTCGGCGTATTCGAGGGCGCAGAACAAATGGACTAGATCGTCTGCGGGATCGGAGCTTCGGGCCTTTTCAAAGTTCTGGATGGAGATTCTGAACATTTGGCGGCGTTTGTCGAAGAAGGGCTCGGTTCGGACTTTGAGGCTGAAAAAAAATATTTTTTTAAATAAAATTTTAGAAAAGGTAAAAAACTAACCATAAAAATTACAGTATCCCCAGACTTAAAAAAACCACTTTATTACCCAAAAATTCCAAAAATTTTCCAAAAAAAATCTCAAAATTCTCAAAAACCATCAAAAAAATCTACCACAAAAAGTAAAAAAATTAAAGGCAACCATAAAATTACAGTATCTCCAGACTTCAAAAAAACATTTTATTACCTAAAAAATTACAAAAATTTTCCAAAAAAATCTCAAAATTCTCAAAAATCACAAAAAAATCTACCGCAACCCAAACCAACCTCAATTTCCAACCCAAATCTAACCATATTCCCCCATAAACACCTCCAAAATCGCCTACCTATATCCCAACGCATACAACAACATGCATCTTCCGGCCAGAGTATCACTTTGACAGAGACTTAGGGCTTCCTCCGCGCATCTAATCACAGTGTCCGCATCGCCATTCTGTTCAATCTCCATCTTTGCAATCTGCATTAATTCGACCACTTTCTCCTCGGGATGATGTTCATCCAAGCAGAGGCTGGCCGAGTGATGGAGGATCTTAGTGGCCCGAGGGATTCGGCCAGTGCATGCCAAGGCCAGGCCGAATTGACGCCAAATGTAGCTGGAATCATAGGGACATCATAAAAATTGAATTAGGTTCTACAAAAACGTCGACATTTTTCTAAAAACAAAAGGTCCAAAATTAAAAATTTTTCGTATAAAATGTCACCCAGTCAAAAACACAATATGATAGCAGTTCAAAAATGTAATAAGACGACTTATTATGTTATATCAGGACAAAAAAGGAATACTTCAAACTTCACTCTCAACAATGAAAAAAATAAAAATTTTTCGTATAAAATGTCACCCAATCAAAAACTCAATATCACAGCAGTTCAAAAATGGAATAAGACGACTTGTTATGCCACTTTAGAACAAAAAAAAATCGTAATTCAAATTTCATCCTCAAAAATGAAAATTATTCGTATAAAATGTCACCAGTGCTTGCGAAATATCACAACAATTTAAAATTTTAATAAGACGACGACTAGTTGTGCCATATCAGGACCAAAATCAGATATAATTTAAATTTCATTCTCAAAAATCAACATAATCCCAATTTTTCGTATAAAATGTCACCCAATGCAAATCACAATTTTCCATTACTCCCAACACCTCAAACCACCCCCAACTTCTCTTACCGATCGGATCCCGCGTACTGCACAGCATTATCCAGCAATGCCGAGAGCAAAGAATGTTGTCGTATATGGGACAGCACCACGGAAAGGAGATTATGGACTTGTTTCAGATTATGGAAAAGGCGGAATTGCTGGAGAGTTTCTCCATCGTATGTTGAGGCCCTGACTGCCCGAGAGGCGATCATTTCGCTGATCAGGAGGAGCAAAATGATCTCCTCGATCCGGCTGTTCGGGGAGTAAAAATTCTTGTTCGAACCGGTGTAGAAGCTAAAATACGGGTACGAAATTAACCACAAACACTAAATATGGTTCAAAATACAATTTTCAGCTCTAATAATTTCGAAGAAATTTCAAAAATTATATTATTTTACCCACAAGTTGATGTTTGAATTCCAAAAAGTGAAGAAGAATGAGAAACACATTGGAGAAATAAAATTTATTTTTGTAAAATACGACGAGTTTTTTTGCGCTTTTATCTTGAATTGAAAAAAGGCCAGCTTTTAATATTATTATTCATCTAAATATGTGTTTTCCCAAAAAATTCATTCTCAATTTTTTTCAATTTCTTATTTCAAGCCTTTTTAAATTTAATTTTGCTCTTTTTAACCCTCAAATCATCCACTTTTATAAAAAAAATCCCAATTTTACTTACTTTAGCATCTTGCTCTTTTCATTGATGGCCTTGCTCCCATTTCTCATGCTCAACGAACTTTCCATGGATCCCCTCAACAGGATTTCAGCGAGCTGTCTACACAGTCTTTGCTGAGTCTCTGCGACCACACTTTTATCGCTCAATTCGGTCATAATTCTTCGGTATAACTCGACTCCCTCCTCGTCCGACTTCCGCTCCAAAACCGACCTCCGCAACAACAAAAAGGGCGCTCTTTCCATGGCGGATTCGAGTAAATCGCCGAGCTGACTGGTCCCGGTCTTTGATGAGGCGATGGCCAAGGTCCTTCCGTTCGTTCCGATCGACTTTTCGAACTCCGCGATATACGAGATTGTGAGTTCTACGGCGGATTCAAAAAGACTCATAAGACGTTTTCGAGAGACTTCGCGCGCGCGCTCCGTAGCGTTCATGAGACGCTCCGTGGCAAATCCTTTGATGGCATAACCTTCGGCAGCCAGTTTCAGGGATCTTAGGGTCTCAAATTGGGTCTTCGCCGCATCTAGTTGCGATTTTTCCAGGTCTTCGAGCGATTTTTGGAAAGAACAGGAGAAATAATGGACTTTGGCCAGAAGAATATACGCTTCCATCAAAACCTGAAGTGAGTTCTTGGATAAGAAATTCAAATCATGGCTTTATTTAACCGCATTTTGGTCCAAACAACTTGATTTATGTATTGGAACACCTAAATTCCAAAAAACAAAAGGAAATTAAAAATTACCGTGGGTTTCTCGCGATTTGATGCTATAGCAGCCTTGAGCATGCCCTCCGTTGTTCGAAGAAAGTCGCCGATATGAGGTTTTGGCCTGACATGACCTGGAATTATCAAAATTTAAAACTTTAGGCATCACTAAGCATAAAAAATAGTAGAATTGTTTTACTGGATTTTAAAACCCACAACAAACATGGTGGATTTATTGCTCTTGCTCGTTCACATTGTTTTACCATCTGAACTTGACAAAAATTCCGTAAAACTCTGAATTTCTTCATAATACTCTAAGCCAAGAGCAAACACTCGAAAAATAGCCGAAAACCTCAGCGCCCTCCCTAGTTCCGAGCTGTTCTCTCGTTGTTTACGTAGTATCTAAAGTCCAAAACAAAAAAACAAAACATTTCCTACCATTGACTTGCTTCTGTCGCTCCAGAAAATTCTCCAAAGACAGTTCCCCCTCCACCAAACCGGTCAGTTTCTCCACGCCCGAATTCTTTGCCCGCACCAGCGGCAACAGGTCGGCCAGTCGTGCCCAATTGCACTCTCCTCGGCATTTATCCAATTCCGCCTCCAGCCGGCTTCCGCGCAGTTTCGCCATCTTTTCCGGTGGGAGAGTTCAAGAATCAAAGAATTTTAATCGAAATGGAGCATAATCCTTGGAATCGACATGGATGCGAAGTGACAGCGGGCGCTAATCGGCTCCAAATATCAGTGGAATTTGTTGACCGACAAAAATTTCTCCGATTTTTTCGATTATAACACAATGCCAAGCACTGGAATTTTTCGTGCCGGGACGTGGAAAACCTGCAGGAAAGAGGGGAAATTTCAGTGTTTTGGGGGAATCAAGTTATATTCAATACATTAGAGAGTGATTAAACGAAAATAGGAATGTGATTCCACTTTTAAAGCCAGTTTTTTATTGTTTTTGATATAAATTTAAAACAGGCATCCGCAAGGTGCGAAAGTCTGGGTTTTACTTGGTTCCAATATTTACAAATGCATTTACAACCGACAAAAATTTTCAAATTGCAATATTCCACTTCATAATTTCATAGATTTATTCAGAATAGTTAGAAATTCACAGATTAGTACCTTTTTTTCTTGATGGTTATAACCGGTTTGACAAACATTAATTCGATATAAAAAGGCTGTTAAAAGAATGTTAAATAAACTGTTACAAGATTGTGAAAGTTGAGATGTGAGTGAGCCTGAGGGGAAATGGGCAAAAACTTGGGGGGAAATTAGGCGCTTAGGATGAAGTATGTGAGGACAGTGGCGGCAACGAAGCCGGCTAGGGCGTAGGCCAGGAACAGGGCGACGGTGGCTCTTCGGTGGCGGTCTGAGTGGGCTTGGCGTTCGCTGAAATTGGAAAAATTTAAAAAATCAAAAAAATTTCAAAAAAAAATTACTTCCAACCCAAAATTTTGATGTCTAAAACAACATCGATCATTTTTTTGATATCCAAAATTTCTCTACAATCCTTAAAATACCTACCGGAAGTAGTAAACATCCGAAGGGACAGCGCTTTTGCTTCGATTTCTCATTTCGATGGCCACAATTCGTTGCTGTTCATTCTCATCTCGGTATTTGACCACTTCCTGGATGACAGCGACAATCACAGCCAGGAAAATGAAGGCCAATAATACCCAGATAGTGATCGTTTGATCCTGCCATAGTCCCTTGAAATAGAAGACGGCAATAATCGCGGCGGACAGGGCCAAAAGTGCGGCCAAGAATCCGATTCCTCGATGGAAAAAGTTGAAAATTCTGCGACGTGGATGATCGACACGGCATCTGGTGAGGGCACCGAGAGGCTGAGAGAAGGCCAGGAGTACAGAGATGGCTCCAATCTAAAAATAATCGCATAAAATGGTACAAAACATTATTTTAGATAAAAAAAAACGTTAGATAAAAAAACTAGATCAAAAATTTTTTCAAAAATGTCTTCAAAATGTCCTAAAATACGTTCAAAATTACTCACAAGACTGTGAATTGCTCCAGGCGCCGTGTTGACTTCACTTGGGTTTGAAATCGCCGGACCAGTCCACCTCAAGTCCTGGGAAATATAGACCAAAACAATGCTGCTCGCAATCAGCACAATTCCAATCGAATTCATAAGGCGATGGATCTAAATGTCAAAAATCACCAATCAAAAGGGTTGTAAACTCACATGGAACCAAATTCGGATGCCTCCGACGGTGGTTTTCGGCCACAGGGATCTCATATAACGAGCTGCGAAGATTCCGGAATACAGGAATCCGAACCAGCCAAAAAGCATGAGAACACCTGAAAAAGATCGAAATTGTATCTGATTTTACTTTATAATTCATTTTCAGCTCTTATTACTTCCATAGCCATAAATTTTATAGGTCAAAATTCAAATTTAAAAATTCCGCAAAATCTTGGCATTCTGTTTCAAGTCCAAAAATCATCAAAAATCGCCAAAAACATCCTCCCTACGGCCTTACAAAGATCCATAATAACTCAAATATTCGATAGACCACTCAATTTCACCTAAAATACAATTCAAAAAGCAAAAATATCTCCTTCTTACCATGGTATCTCAAGAGCAACAATTTGGCCGACTTGGACAAACTGAATGGGCCTGATCCGGGCTGGGATTCCTGCGGCTTCGTAGGTTCTTCAAATTTGCCCTCAGGCTCGACGGCGTCAGCTTCAACTTTGGCAGTTTCCTCAGGCATGTCCGGGGTTCTCTTCGTCAAGATATGAGCCTTCGGCATAACCGCTCTATTGCTATGGAAGATCAAATGGACGTCGTTCTTGACTGAATATCGACAAATTATTCTTCAAACTAACAACAATTCTAAAAACAAAAAAAAATCTCAAAAATGGTACCTTCACTATTCACTGGCCCAGTGGCCATGAGCAAGTTGTATGTGCCATTCAATTTCGGAGTGTACTCATCCTCTCTTAGGCTGGTAATTGGTTGCTCGAATGAGCAGTAGAGGTGATCATCATCTTCGGTGAACTGGATCAAGGCGACCGAATGGACATACTCATTGGGAGCCATCGTATGTTGTCGGCCATTGTTGAAACTGTTCCGAGCAACCGCCTCGCCAAACAATTTATAGCATGAAATAACCTTTTCGTTTCCCTAAAGGAAGAAGAATGTTATACTAGACATCAATTATATTACTCATGATGATTATGTATAAAAAAATTGGTGGAATAGAAGTTTCTGATAACGTACCATAGAATCATCATCTGAAAATCCAATTGCAACATAGTTATCTTCGGGCTTTGTCTTCTTTGCGGACACTTCGAACAAGACATTCTTCTTCTCCGGATCCACTCTGTATGCAACATCGAAGCCGTCGGAGCTGTCACAATGCACCGAAACACCGCATGCTGTCTTGTTGATCTCCTGAAACAAAAAAAAAGTTAAAGGAAAAGGGGAAAACCAGAAAAACGTAACAATTTGGAGTTTAGAGGTCAAGTGCAATATAATTTTGCTGAAATTTCAAAAATAAAATGATTAGCTGGGCAGAAAGTTCTCTTGGAACCTGCACAAAGCCATAATCTTGCCACAAAACAAAAAAAATACCTGCAAAACAAACCATTCACCTGTAAAAATATCAAATTTCTCTAAGACATCAAGTGAAATTCCTGAGAGGCAAAATCAACAAAAATTTTGAAGAATATCTCTCTCGAAGTGGTCTAGAAAGTTGCATCAACTCAACAACAAACTTCACCTCCAATTTCAGAGCTCTCGAACTCCAAAAACTCATGTTTTCCTCGCATTTCCGGTCAAGGTCAACCAAAGGTCAAGTGCAACATCGTAAAGTCAAAAAAAAAAAATGAACTTACACAATACGCAACTCCGAGAATGAACGTCAGGACCAATATCCGTTCTGTTCCAGCCATTTTTCCCCAAATCCGGCCGTACAACCAGCTGCAACATCGATTTACATTATATTAGCCATAAAACATAAGGAAACCCGCGGAAACTTGAGCAATACTTCGAGAAATGGCGTAAATTAGCTAAAAATGTGTGAGGCAATGTCGTTTGGGTAATAGGGGACCGTTTCCTCGACGAACTCAGCGATGAGACCATCAAAACGACTTCAATGAAGGGGCGAGAGGAGAAAACGAGTAAATAAACGAGGGGAAAAACAAATTACAGTGTAAAAAATGTGGAGAACAGGCTTACGACTGTCAAAACAGTTCAATTTAGCAAACGAGGAACCTGAAGAAAGTGGGAATACCCAGAAAAAACGAGAAAATCGACAAATTTTTGGGGAAAATTGGAAAAAAGGAAATAATCTAAAAAAATGAATCGTAATGACGTATTTTATGGATTGAAATGGATGATAATGAAAGGAAATGCGATTTATATTGGAATAAAAGCTGATAGCGCGTGTTTCAAATACGAGAAGAATGAAAAAACGCCTGCGGTAATAAGTTTACCCATAATCGTAAAAAAAGGACCCTCGAATGGATTCTGATTCACGTCAAATTCGATTCAAATCAAGCTACAAAAGCGTGAACATCGTTTGTAATACGTTTTTCCGGTCGAATCCATGCGCTTTACAACTTTTTACGCTGCTTTTGGAAAAGGCGAAAGTTGATGGTTATTTCTGCGTGGGAAATAAGCTTGAAAAAAATCATGAACTTTCGTGAACCCGGAAAGGGGCCTGGAAGGTGGGTAGAGAAAAGAAAGAAGACGAGAAGAGAGCAGTGAAAGTTCAGTAGTCTTCGAAATAATTAATTTTTGCAAGAAACGCATCAATTGCGGTAAAAATTACAAAGTTACGCCATGACGAAAACGAATGGTTATTTCGTAGGCCAAAATGCGTTAGAAAAAAACCATAAAGTTTCGTAAATCTCTCAAATGAATTCCTCGCGTTATTAACCAGCGGACCTCAAAAGACATCCGACAAAACTTGTTGTACATACAAATCCACGTCGGTACGTGGTAAAATAACACCCCTTTTCGCGAGTTTTGTTGACATATCGCCCGAGATCTTCTCTTTTCCTTTTCAGAAGTTTTTGAGAAGCGATTTTTTGGGGGAGAAATCTTTGAAAACATGGGGGAGGAAGAATCTGACCTTCAACTCGGCTTTCCGCTTGCACAGGAATGGGGTGAAGAAATCGCAAGCCGAAAATTCCTTTCCTGGATCCGGAGCCGAAGACAAATGAATCAAAAATCAACTGAGCGTGGCATCTGACAGGATTAATGAGGGAAAAGAGGGCGCTCGATGACATAAACCGGTCATCTCTGGGAGCAAAAATGAGTAATAAGGGGAAATCCGGAGGGAGATTGGATGAATTTGGTCTTGCACAGTGCAAAAATAAAAAAATGGCGATTGCACAGTGCGATGAAATGATTTGGCAATTTCGTTGCACTGTGCGCTCGACACATCGCTGTTGAAGACTGCACAGTGCATTGGAAAAAATTTTGTCGCGAATGCACAGTGCGGGACGAAATTTTTTCGCTGCACGGTGCGTCGAAAAAGAAAACAGAATTTATCGCACTGTGCAAAGAAAAATTGCCAAAAGCAGGTGTGATGGATAAGAGAAATGACTGAAAATTTGAAGAAAAATATTTGAAACGGACTAAAATTTATTATCGATATTATTTTTTTTTGTTTTTGTAAAGTGCACAGTGCGAAAAACGAAAATTTAATTTTTGCACAGTGCAGTCCAAAAATTTTTTAATTTGTAATTGAAAATTTAATTTTCAAATTCAATTTTCAATTTACAAATTCAGTAAACGACTTGTCAAAAGCCTTCAAAACTCCTAATAAACTCGAAGATAAATAACAAAAAAAATTTTTTACAAAACGATGACAAAAGACGAATCGAGCAATCGAACGCTGTAAACAATAGAGACGTGAGCGGAAGGTATCGGAAACGCGCGAATTATTCATTAAATTCGGGCTTATTTGTGCAAGGAAAACAATCATCGCCTCGGGGGGAAAAGCACTCCATCGCGCAAGAGACAACAATTATTACTTCAGGAGGGATGAAAACAAAAAATATGTGGTACAACAAGATCAATGACTCTTTAACTTTTTACGAATTAAAAAAATTTGAACGTGTTTAAAAAAGAGACAAAGATTTGCATAGTGCGGAAAAATTTGGATATTGCACTGTGCTGTGGTGAAAAAAAAATTTTTTTATTGAATTGTAATTTTAAAGTGGTGAAAATAATGCTAGTGTAATTTCTACGACCGGTAAATGTTGTTTTTGCCCTAAAAAATCCAAAAAATCAACGGCACCGTGCAAAAATTTGAATCTTAGTTTTTGCACAGTGCGTTAAAAAATATCGGAAACTTTGAAGAAATATAGTAAAAGCCTCAGTATCATAAAGGTAAAGTCACAGTAAATTTTCAAGTCTAAAATTACTATGGCAATCAGAAATTATCATAAATTTCATCGCACAGTGCACAAATCAAGCCTCAAATTTATCGCACTGCGAAAAACTAAAGATCACAAAATTACAAAAATTGTTTTGTATAATGACTGATGACAAGGTCAATACAAGAAAAGTCCATGAAACTGTCTCTTTACGAGAGAACGAACGGGTTTGTAAAGCTTTGAGTAGCATCAAGTTTCCGATGAACGCCTGAGGTCAAAATGGAAGCAAGGTCGTTCAAAGACCGCGGAGAAACTTGCTGCGTGGGCTATATAATCATGGGCCCGGTTTTTTGGCGCAGCGTTTCGTGAAGGGTATAATTTATAACCGTACGTTGATTTGCGCAGTGCGGTCGAGATGATTGCACTGTGCAGAAAACAAAAGAGGCCAAAAAATCCCCGCACAGTGCAACACAGGCGACAAAAGAGAGTTTTCCGCACTGTGCGGGTTTTTTAATATTTTTTGCACCGTGCAGAACACAAAAGAAAAAAATGTCCGCACAGTGCAACACAAGCGACAAAAGAGAGTTAAAATTTTGAACAGCACAATCAAAAATACATAAAAAAAAAGCAATTTCAAGTTGCTTTAGTAATTGAAAATTTTACAACGGGGTTATAAAATGCGTAATATTTCGCCCACTGAACGGGAATGACTCTATCATCGAAGAAACTACTATTACGACTACTTTTACTCCCTCTCGACCTCTGAATCACTGCTCAAAATTACGTTAGTATCCTACTTTTAAAGTCGCGTTCTTTCGAAACACGAACTGACAAAAATTTTCTTTTGTAAAAGTCCACGAAACTGTTGTTTTGTTTGTTCAAGCGACTTGAACCATAAGTGCTAATGATCTCCAGGATAATATGATGAGCGGAATTATCACGTGAGCTTGAACTGAAGAAAAGTGCAGCCCTCGTATTTTAAAAACAATAATTTTTTTGTACTGCACTGTGCGGCGAATATCCTTTTCGTTGTTTTGCACTGTGCGAACAAAAAAATTATTTGTCGCACAGTGCAGCTCAAAATTCAAAACATAGGCTGAGCACTGTGCAAAAACCGAAAATAAACTTTCATATTGCAAATAAAATAAAAAATAATGTATTTACAATACACCCAAAAGTCAATAAGGGGCGCAAAAAGTTTATCCGAACAAAGGGAGAAACATCAAAAAGGTGAATATGGGATTGGCGTGGGATCCGTGAAAAGAGAGAGATACCGCGGTACCACCCGGTTATTTAAAAAGAAAAATGAGACATGACTTCGAGGGCCAGTTTAATGCAATCATAAGATCGAAGATTTACATTAATTGTTTGTATGATTCATGTGAGATTTCTAGCTCGCGCTTTGCAGAAACAATAGGTTAAAATTGGGAAAAAACGTGACACTTTGTCTCCAACTTTGGCATGGAAAGTTTCGTATCCATTCCTACTGTAGAAAGTAATGTTGCGACAAAAAACAAATTATTTCCGCGCAAAACTGGCGGAGATACGGCCAAGAAGTGTTTTTTCTCTAACCGCTTGACCATAAAAATGGCCCAGAAAGGAACGAAAAATTCTGGAAGCCACGAGTTGTGTGTTATGAACTAACTCTTGTTCCGTTTGGTGATTAACAGTATTCGAATGACCCGGAATCTAATTAGTAATCAAACCAGAAATTCGACATGAATCACTTGCAAAACAACACATCCATGAAAAATAACTGTCTTTTCAAACAGTCTTCAGATTCCAAAAATTCTTTTGACGAAGGTGATAATTGATTTTTTGACGTATTTTAGAGACGAGTATTCATTTTATGTGAAATGACATCATTTTCAGCCCATTGACTCTGATACTGACTTGCATTCCTCTAAAGAAAAAGAATAATTGGCCAAAAATGTCTAGTGTAATATCCAGAAATAAATATTTATTCAGAAATTAATTTTTTGACTAAAAAAATGAGTCAAAAAAGATTGGAGTAGTTCTCCAATCAAAATGCATCACTTTTATTATAACAAATTATAGTTTATTTATGACATTTTAACGATTTTCAAGCTCTGACGTAGACTCGTTTTCCCTCAACATTATTGGCCTTACAAATCGCGATCAATTTTCCATTCTCATCGACCCATCGAGTGATCAGCGATGGGACACTCTTATCGCCCTCAACATTACTCTGATGCTCGATGATTTTGCCGTCCTCGGTCAGTTCGGCGACAACGTAAAAGTCTCTTCCATCGATGGTCTTTTGCTTGGTCTTCTCGCCCAATTTGAAGTGCCATTCGCCGTTCTTGAATGTGGAAGTCACCTTCACATGGAAAGTTTCGCCGTCATAGGACATCTCCAGGTTGGGCTTGGTGGCACTTCCGGCCTTTCGCAGCAAATAACTGATTCCGATCTCCTGAAAAAGGGGATGTTACAACAGGGTGTACCAATTTCGCGGCCCGATTTGAATTGGCTATAACTTCTTTAATTTTGGGGCAAATTGTAAAATTCTTTTTTTCCCTGAATCCTCAGACATCCCCATTTTGTTTAGTGCTGAATATGTGGCAGAAAGTGCGTAGATCACTTTATGTAACGTCGCAGACCGCACCGTGCACAAACGAAAAAAAACTGAAAAAAGTCTACGCACTTTCTGGAGCGACTAGTATTAGCATTTTCATAAAGTGCATGGACTACAGTGCATTTCGTTTTTAGCGCAACGCGATCCGTTTCAAAACATTTTTACACGTTGCAATTGTCTCAGATTTTGCAACGGCGCAATGGAAAAAAGCTTCCGTCGCAGCGATGTGCAGTCAACATTTTTTCTTGCACAGTGCGACGCATGACGAAAATTCCATGCACTTTATGAATTTCCCGTTTATTAAAGTTGCTGGAGCCATTTTTGCGACATGCACGGTGCGAAAAGAAAAATTAAAAAAGTTTTTTTTTGTTTTTTGCACCGTGCAACAGGCTTTTTCGGGCTGTCGCTCGCACCCTGACTTTTCTGCATTGTGCAAAGTGAGAAAACAAAAATTGATTTGCACTGTGCAAAAGGCTTTGTTTTGTGACCTGATCCAGTAGCAAGAAATGTACCATTTTGCATCCGGGAAGTATCAAAAAATGTGGCAAAATGCCTCCCTCTCCAGCTAAAAAACTCCATTTTGATGAGCGCCTTTTCCTTTTTTTGAAATTGGAGTTTTTTCACTTGGAGAATTAGAAAATTTTCTACATTTTTTGATACTTCCCGGATGCAAAATGGTACGTTTTTTGCCATGGATCAGGTCCGTCGCTGCATGATTTTGATTAGAAATTTTGCCGCAAAAACAACTTTACCTTCAGATATTCATCAAAGTTCTCCGAACTCTCCAATTTCCACTCTCCCAACAACAATTTCTGACGTTCGTTCAGTTCCACACCCATTTTTGGATCAATCTACAACCTAAAATAGGAAAAATGAATTCAGAAAATGATAAGAAAAAGTGATGACAATTTAAAATTTGAGCAAAATACAAGGCATAAATCCCAAAAAACCTCCGATATCTCTAGCGACAACTACTTTTATAACAGTTTGGTTGTAAAGAATCTGGAAAGAGCTCTTTTTTCTCCACAAATCCCCACTTCCAAATAAAAAGTCAGCGTCTTTGAATGCAAAAAGAGATTTTATCGCCGAAGGAAAGGCCCTTACTACGTAATAACAAAGGAATCATTTAGACCTTGCAGCTGCAGACATTTCATGAGAAAATCCGAGGGGAAATCGATTACAATACAGATTGGGAAATTGATCGAAAATTTCTACAGATTTCTATTCAAAAAGTAAAATTGAAATGCGGAAAAAACGAGAACATACACATGGCTTTCTCGCCTAACAAAACTAACATAACAGGTGCTAAATTGTATCTTACTTCTCAGTAAAGCTGTAATTTACTATAATTATGCCCTAGAAAAGTAATTTACATTACATTTGACAGACAGAGGATCTCTGGCCTCTTGATGCCGGGTCGAGAAGCGGTTTGAGAGGGGCCGAGCCCACTTTTTTGGGACAGTGATTGGGGAAGGAAATTTTTATTTAGGCCAAGAATTCCCCTTCCAAAGCAGAGCTGGGCCCGGTCTAATGTCTGTTGGTGTTGGTCCTTACTTTTGTAGGGCCGGGTCAAAGGCTTAGAGGTACACAATACCCAGTCCCTACGAATGTCTGGTAGGAAACGAGCCTATGAGCGGCTCTCAGATTGCAAAAATGGGATTCTCTAAGACATGTGCCAACTTTTTAGTTCTCGCTTTGCAGTAACCTAAGCCCCGAGATCTTTAGTTGAAAGGTGGCAATAAAAATACGACCAAAAAAAGGGCTTATTCATTATATATATTTTTATGTCTCCTCATTCCCGGCACTCTCTCGTCGACAAAAAAGATGGCACAACAGAGATCATCTATTATAATATCAGTCTGTCGGGAAAGAAGCACTGTCGCGTCGAAGATCGCATGGAGAAAATGAATTGTGTCCCGACAAGATCAAATTGCTTTTCGCTTCAGCGACGCAATCAGCACAGCGACATTGAGCTCGTTATTTTCCCGACAGACTGATATCTCGGCTTCTCCTCCAAACCAGATACTGAAAATTTCCTACATTGATCCGTGACTGTAAAATCTGCGTCGTCGCTCCGGCAACTGCGCTTGCAAATTCTGAACCCCCAAAAAACGATAAACTCACCTCACCAAGTGTCAAAGAAATGCTCCAAAATTCATGGCTTTTAAAGGCGCTTATTCCTTATCACTTGGAAGTCCCGTTGACGTCGCACCTTTAGTTTTTGTCTTGCAGAAACGTGTTGTGTAAAGGACAGGTGTGGCGATAAAAAATATCCGGAAAGCAAAGTTTATCGGACAAAGAACGGCGTGGGTTATTCTTCGCAATTTCTGGTCATTTTCCAGGATCTTTCACAATGATTTGTCATCTTCCACAGTAATCGGTGCGTTCGTAACGAATCCGTTTACTCTTAAAATTATATACATGTATAAATTGAAGAAAAGGTATGTAAATGTAAAATACGATTGAGGGAACAGAAAGGGGAAATATGAAAATAACCTATTGTTAAATAAAAATGGTTAAAATAACCTTAAACCGATGAAGTTTTGCCAAGAAATTTGACGGAACGCTTTTTGTAATTCATCCAATTTCTTCAATTGTTCTGTAATTTGTCACGATTCCGTGAAGAATTCTCAGAAATTAGCATAAACACGAATATTTTGATATAAATGTAATGGATCGACCGCTTTTCGGTCACTCGTTGGTGAAATAAACATATAATTCGAATTGTTGGAAGTTCCGTTTGATCCAGTCCGGTCGTGTCGATACAAAGTGGAATCAATTTTGCGTGAGTCCACAGTCTTACTGCTAGAGTTCTCTAGTTGTGTCTCCGGGTTATCAGGGGTAGTGAATACCAGGAGTAGAGTGCAATATAGGGGCCTCTTTAGACCTCGACTACACAAGTCTTGAAAAATTACAACAGAGCAAAACATGCTGTGGCGCATATTATTTTGACGTATTTTACCCTTCGATTCGACTTTTTTTGCTTTCCAATAAATTCCCTTCCAATTAAATATGTCATATGTAAGTAATGTTTATTTATCCCTCAAAAATAGATCAATTTGAAAAGTGAAACTCTGTTGCAAAATAAGTAAAACATCAAAGAATCCCAAATAAAATCTTATCACATCTAAATTGGCAATTACTCAATATAAAAATCATCAAACTTTCAAAAAATCTCAAAAATGGCAAAGCTGTAAATTAAAATTTTTTAAAATTACAAAACAGATATGGCTGCTGGATTAGGGATTTCTAGCTCAGCAATAGGCCCCGTAATATTTCCCTCGCTGAAACGGAACAATAATATTGTACTTGACAGCTGATTCGCGACCAGAACGTATTTATCATCGATCAGATGGAAGAATCGGGGGAAATAGCCGTGGGTTGAGAAGGTCTCGACCAACTCCAGTTTGCCCTCGGTGGGATGCTGGATTCGGAACACGGAGATCGAGTTATGACGGCCTCGGTTCGAGACCAGCACGTATTTTCCGCAGTCGGAGAGCTGTAGATGGGCGGCACATTGGAGAGGGTCGTCGTCCACTTTGTAGCTGTTCTCCAAATTTCCTAGGGTCGATTTCTCGTCAGTCTTGGTGAGTTGCTGAAAAATGATGACCTATTTTTTTGAGGACGGAAGGTTCGAGTGGCCCACCCTGTATAAGGCTCGAAAATAAAAAATTTTAGCAACCGAATTTTTTAAATTTTTACAGGAATAGTGTTCGAAGAGCCCTCTATTTGCATAGATCATCAAGATTTTCTGTCCAAAAGTTTGTCAAAATTTAAGATTTTTTCCCCAGTTTAGCCACGCCAATTTTCAGCTTTATTTCAATCGGTAAAAGCAACACTTCTATCAGTCTGTCGGGAAAATAACGAGCACTCTATCGCATGCAAAATCGCATCGCCGCCGAGAAACTGAATTGTGTTGCGGCAAAATCAAATTACTTTTCACTTCAACGACGCGATCGGTGCAGCGACATTATGTTCATTATTTTCCCGGCAAACTGATAAAGAAAACCACTTTTTTCCGCGCGAAATTGGCAGAGGTTTGTTCAAAAAGCGCTTTTTTAATCTGCCCACTCTCGGCATTTTGCGTACTCCTTCATTATTTACCGAAAATCTCGGCTGCCCTTGCAAAACCGGAGCAAAAATTTTCAGGAGCTGATTTAGAGCCTAGAACCTAATTGTATGCAAGATCTAAAGAAAATATGAGCGTCGCATATTGAGCATTTCCCTAGCCAAAAAAAGACCGAAAGATCTGACATAACAAAGGTTGTCAACCCAATTAAAGTTATAAAAAGCTCCTAAGAACCCATTTCAAATTGTAACACTAAAAACCGCAAAAAACTCACAGCATACAACCCATCCGTCTCGTATACCACCAAAGTATTCGAGAGTTCATTGATGACGAAAAGAAGATCGTATTTGGGGTGTTTTAGCAAATGGCGAGGCCCGTAGCCCGGGGGCATCGAGATTTTGTGCATGATTCTGGTCTTGCTTTCGCGACAACGAAGCTAAAATACGAATGGTCAAAAAATTTTTAAAATTTCTGCACCAATCTTACCGACAGTATATAAATTTCAAATTTACCTTATACAGCGCGTCAGCGCCCAGATCCGAGACCAGAAATTCGTCGCCCGACTCCAACGGGAGGACCGAGTGGGGATGCGGCGCTTCCTGCCGATCCGGGATCGTTCCGCTTTTGTCATGAAAGACCACAGGCGGATGGGGATGCAGTCTGCCGGTATCGTCCTCACAGACAGTCCGGACAACTCCGCCGTCGTAGAAGGCGATGGCCAGAAGATTATCCTCCTCTTCGCGCAAACTGCTCATGTAACAAGCGCCGGGCTCGGGGAACAGGATCGATGTGAGGTTGTTCAGCTCTCCGGTGGACCTAAAATACGATGATTTGGTGGGTAATATTATCTATCAAGAAGAAAGTAATCAAAGAATTGAGAGATGTGGGATTGAAACTATCGTAATTTACAGGGGAAGTGTATGAAGTGCGACGCTCAGATGCTCAGATTTTCTTTAAATTTTGCATACAAGTTGAGCCAAGAGCACTTATAAATTCCTGAAAATTTTAGCTCCTGATTTGCAAGGAGAGCCGAGATATTCAACGATCTTGACCATCGAGAGAGTTGGACAAATTCTATATCTTTCCCCGAAATAAAACAAATTTTTTTGGTATCAAATGAAAGAAGAACACCTCCTCTTGCTAATGCCAACTTACTTGAACACTTTTCAGCCCATCTTCATGAAGATACAGGCTGCAAAATATTCCAAACGAGTTCTTTTTTCCGCGACAGAGAAACTTGACACATCAGTGAAAAACTTGACGCCAACCTGCGCTACGCCAAACACGGAGAGAGGTCAGAGAAAAAATAGATTTTTTTGGCCGTGACTGTGAATTTCTCGAGGAAAAAATTGACTTTTTTGGGGAAAATTGTCCTCACCGGTCAAAACAAGGCTTGAATTAGCCAGAAAGTGGCAAGAAACTGTAATTTTTTTTTGCAAAACGGGAGCTAGGAATCTCGAAAATGAAAAAAAGTGCAATTTAAAAATTTTTTAATCAAAATCAACATTGTCGCACTTCGAACATTTCCCTTGTCAGCTCCAAAAAACATACCGGTCAATGTCGAACCGATGCATTCCACTGAGCGGCGCCTTTCCCTCCGTCAAGCAGTACAATCTGGTGCCGTTGCGGTCCTTCAAGAACCATGAGATGTTCTTCAAGTCCTTCTTTCCAATGATGTTCAGTTTCTCGTCTTGCAATCTCAAAATATAAATTCCATTCTCTATTTTCTGCGGGGCGTACGGCGGCTCTGTGTAGGAGCCAATGTAGATGATTTTATCGGTCATTCTGAAACGAGATTTTTTATCCAAGTGGTATGTAAGATGCCTAATTCTCCCGTGCTTGTTTTTTTAAGTTCTGTACAATTATTCGTCTATGCCTCAACAAAGACCGTATCTATATTACTAGTGGCAAAAAGTCCTGGGAATTTTATATGAGTCCTGGAGTTGATTTCTCAGACCGCGATATCGTACGTCACGTTGAATTACAAGTCTGTCGGGAAAATAGTGAGCACTTTGTCGCATCGAAAATTGCATCGCCGCCGAAAAAATGAATTGCGTCGCCACAAAATCAAATTGCTTTTCGCTTCAGCGACGCGATCGGCGCAGCGACGTTGTTCATTATTTTCCCGACAGACTGATATCGCTCGGTAATCATTTCAAGGCCAAATGACGCCAAAAGTCCAACAGTATTTTATTTGTTTTTCGAACCAACTTTATGTCAACTTGTTTTTTCAATGCAAATGAAATCCAAAACATCAAAAATCGCGATTTTTTCGGGTCAACGAAAGCTCGGGTAAACACAATCGATCTGTACGAGGCGTAGGGCAAGTGGAAATAAAAAAAAATTTTTTAAGCGTCGCCTACGAGGCCTAAAAAGCCGTTGGATGAAAATGACGAGCGGAGAAGGCTTGGCGGAGGCTTACAATACAACCACCTTATCTAATTTTAGCTATTGTTAACCTCAGTTTTTTTGACTCTGAGCTATTAAAAAGTCCAAAACTTGCTCCAAAAACCAAGATTCTTAAGTCTTATATAGATAACTACTGATGTGAGCAATAATATCTATACAAAATACCTCAAAATAGGTCATAACTTATCCCATAGCCCGATAAAATTTTTTATTTCTATTGTTTAATTAAGCCTTCTTCTAGCCTACACTGCATATATATAACGAGGATCAAGTTAGAGCCAATAGCATCGCTGACGCGAACTGTCATTAACAAAAGTCGTAGCGACTATAAATCTTTGTGTGTCCAGAAAATGTGTCATTATGACACCGGTTAAAAATGTGCCTGTGATACAAACAACGGCTGTAAATGAGTAGGACCACTCTCTAGAGCAGGTAAAAATTTTGGGCATTTGCAACGGTACCCGCTGCGTAAAAAATCCATAAAATCCGTCATTAAAAATTGCGCACTGCAAAAGTTTTGCGCCAAACATTTTTTGGGTACTATAAGGAGTACTAATAGTCATATCCAGCCGTTGTCTGTAGCACTGGCACATTTTTAATCCGTGTCATCGTGACACATTTTCTGGACACACAAAAGTTTATTAGTCCCAGGCCATAAATCAACAACTGTTTAGAAGCAAATGCAATCCAAAACAACAAAAATTAAGACGAACAGTGCGATCAAAACACCCAGGAAAGTGTTAAAACTTATTTTTTCCCTAAAAAATTTCAAATTCCCCCCAAATTTCAGCACTTTCCCCTTCAGAATGACCAAAAAACAAGATTTTCGCGCGTTTCCCTCCCCAACCCTGACAGAAACGCACGCCCTTTGCCCGAACAACGCCATAAACGTGTGCAAATGCGGCGACCGAACTGACCCACACCTCGCGGCTCGAGAGGTTTCCCGATTTTCCGCGTAAATTTCCATGAAAAAAATCGCTCTTCAGCCGGCCGCGACCTTATTTTTGGGACGTTTTTGGGGGGAGAAAAAACAAAATTTCGCAATTTGTTTTGAAACTTCCACTCGTTTCCTTCTTTCTCTCTTCTTGTTGTTTACGTTTCGGGGGAGGGGAAGGCATTACAGATTGGCCGTCATAATTAGCCATAGGCCAAGTTTTTGGGCGCAAAGAGCTGGATTTTGGAGAAAAAATTCAAAAAAAAAAAAAATTCAAATTCTTACCCAAAATTGATCGGAATTTGAATAAATACGATGAATATAGCAAAAAGAAGGTGCATTTTGTAGAGGGAATAGGTTCTAAACGTTTAAAAACGGCGAGAAAACCCAAGTAATTTCGCTTTTAAATATTACACTTGATATTACTCATGCTAAAACAGGTGAATTTCTTCGAAGAATTAATCAAAATTCTTTGTGAATGAATAATTACTGCGTAAAATGAATGGGGGTTCCTATTTTTAATGTGGAATGGCTGAATAGTCATCAAAATTAAGAAGAGGAGCTGCCGGCCCAAGTAGTATAGTGGTTAGTACTCCACGTTGTGGCCGTGGCGACACAGGTTCGATTCCTGTCTTGGGCATGCTGTTCTTTTGCAGTTTTGAGATGTGTAATCACCTTGATGGTACCCTCATCGTATTTTACTCTGCTTTTCTCATTTTATTGCCGTATTTTACACTGTTTTTCTCTTTGAAATCCCCGTTTTTACCTTAAAAACATCTATTTTACCTCTTTTTTATTAATTTTTCCACTTTTTTTCTCAAACTCTCCCAATTTTCCGCAAAAACACTCATTTTTATACTGTAAAATTGCAGTACCTTTATTATCCTTACAAAATAGATTGTTTTCCGACACATTATCTTACACTTTTATCAGATTATAGCACTTTTTCCATCCAGAAGCCTTGCTCCTCTGACGAGATAATCTCTAAAAAACATGTTTTGCCAAAACAAGTACAGTAAAGGCTGACTCGACATCTGGTCCGACGACTTTTTGTGCTCCTTGGCATTCAAAGGAGCCCCATTTTGTCGCGCATTGTTTGTTTTCGGAAAAGTATTTTTTGGATCCACTTTGAACAAGAGTCAGATGATTTGGGGGGAAATAAAAGATGGGCAGAATACGAAGGTTATGTATATCGGAAAATAAGGGAATTGCGGAAAATAATCTGCTAAAGTAGTCTGTCCATAAATCATCTTTTTCCCCGATTTTTTACGGAGATATTCTTAAAATACGAGGTCTATTATATTAGCATTTTCACAAAGTGATTGGACTTTATTTCCAGCTTTGCCATTTTTGAGATTTTTTAAAATTTTTGATGATTTTTATAATGAGAAATTGCCAATTTAGTTGTGATAGGATGTTATTTGGGATTTTTTTTACGTTTTACTTACTTTGCAACAGAGATTCACTTTTGACAAGGAAAGTACTTTTATGGGGGCTCCTACTTTTTGACGGGACATATCTCAAAAAATCAGAAAAAATGTGCTGATCAAGGATATATAAATCTTAGCTGCCCATTTTAGGTTTTTAGGGGTGAAAATGCCCAAAAACTGGCTTAATTTCCCTACAAAAGGCGCAGGCATTCGAAACGATAAAAAGCGCAGTCCGTCTCTTCCTTCGGAAGAGAGCGGTGTGGCCGAGTGGCTAGTGCCGTAGTCTGGGAATCAAGAGGGGGAACGCCGCACGGGTTCGATATCCCTTTTGGGCCGAATCAACTTTTTTTGAAGATGAAGGTCGGAAAAATAAATTTTTGTGCCAAGACTGATTCATTACGTCTTAGAAAGTCAATAAACATCATTTTAAGTCAAAATAAAAATTGTAAACCTGTGAAAAATTAAGCGAAAAGGGGTTCATATAGGACTTTAAGTCAACTTCCGATTGAGTTTTCACCCCTAAAAACCTAAAATGGGCAGCTAAGATTTATATATCCTTGATCAGCACATTTTTTCTGATTTTTTGAGATATGTCCGGTCAAAAAGCAGGAGCCCCCATAAAAGTACTTTCCTTGTGAAATTGATCTATTTTTGAGGGATAAATAAACATTGCTTACATATAAATAAACAACTGGAAAGAAACTTATTGGAAAGTTTTAAGAAAGTCAAATGTGTAAAATACGATGGATAATACTAAAACATTTACAATAATATTTGTTTTTTATAAAGTGCATAGACATTTTGATAAAACCGCACCGTGCACCAAACAATCCCATTTTACACCGCGCATTTCACATTTTGGGGCTTCGGTAGTTCAAACCCCCACTGTTTTGCCCGTTTCACACCCCACATAATGAACAAATTAGAATAATACAAGAAATGTAAGTGGGGGTTTGATCTACTACGTTGGGGGCTTGACCTAAAATGTAGGGGGCTTGTGCTGGACCATACAACTTGGATTAATTTTTTGAAATAAATTTTGGGGTTCAGAATGGACGAGGGGGGTTGTACTGGGTCATGGGGGGCTAAACTGGACTGGGGGGCTGTACTATTTACCTTAGCCCCCACATTTTTTTTGATTTTGCACTGTGCATCGAAATATTAGCATTTTCATAAAAGGAATGCACGTTTGTCGCGGTCCGCATTGTGCAAAAATCCCCGATTTTTTGCCCCGTGCACTATTTTTGGTGCACTGTGCAGTTGAAATATCGCTGCGACGTAAATTTTGCGCCGCTGCGGTTTTGCTCAAAAACGTGCACAGTGCAATCGGCTTTTTTGAGGGTTGCACGGTGCGTGACGGAAAAAATTCGAAAAAATCCGCAACATAAGTTTAAGATGCAATGTGCGAAAGTGAGAAAATGTCCAAGCACTTTGTGAGAAATGCTTATAAGATTGTCTTACAATTATGTGGCAATGGAAGGTTCCAAATGTGAAGCTCAGATTTTTTCAAATACCCTCACGTCAGGCTTAGGCCACATATAAATTTCTGACAGTTTTAGCCCGCGCTTTGCCGAGCCATCGAAAATATTGAACAATCGTAGCCTCTGCCGCATTTTACCAAGTATTTTTGTCTGCTCATCAAGTGTATTGTGATACACTTGCGTAGATCTTATGCCAACCGCGTGTTGAACTCTGCAATTCTCGAAATTTTTTAGATGTTGTCTACAATGGGTTTATAAACACTTGTAAAAGATACATTTTCTACTTTTGTACAGTATATGCATGTATTGTCCTTTAACTGAATAGAGATGATAAAAAAACTTTTTGGTTCCTAAAAAGTAAATATGTAATATGTAAGTATATCAACAGGTGTTTGTCACAGCACATGTGCATATTCCTTTACACTTTCACCTATGTTCCAAAAAATGTCTTACAGCGGTGTTAGGCACTTTTTTCAATTCGAAGCGAAAGCTACAAGATTTACGCAAAAGGAATTGTATATTCCCGGACATAAATTTCTGACCACCCATATCTCACAAGGAAAGTACTTTTATGGGGGCTCCTACTTTTTGACGGGACATATCTCAAAAAATCAGAAAAAATGCGCTGATCAAGGATATATAAATCTTAGCTGCCCATTTTAGGTTTTTAGGGGTGAAAATGCCCAAAAACTGGCTTAATTTCCCTACAAAAGGCGCAGGCATTCGAAACGATAAAAAGCGCACTCGGTCTCTTCCTTCGGAAGAGAGCGGTGTGGCCGAGTGGTTAGTGCCGTAGTCTGGGAATCAAGAGGGGGGATGCCGCACGGGTTCGATTTCCCTTTTGGGCCGAATCAACTTTTTTTGAAGTTGAAGGTCGGAAAAATAAATTTTTGGGCCAAGACTGTCTTATTACGTCTTAGAAACTCAATAAACATCATTTTAAGCCAAAATAAAAATTGTAAACCTGTGAAAAATTAAGCGAAAAGGGGTTCATATAGGACTTTAAGCCAACTTCCGATTGAGTTTTCACCCCTAAAAACCTAAAATGGGCAGCTAAGATCTATATATCCTTGATCAGCACATTTTTTCTGATTTTTTGAGATATGTCCCGTCAAAAAGTAGGAGCCCCCATAAAAGTACTTTCCTTGTCAAGTGAATATAACGCAATCACTTTGAAACTTGGCGTGTGTGTTAGTGATGACAAGCAGAATCTACCACGTAAAAATGTTTTTTGTATCTCTGTCCTTAGGCGAGTTATGCAAGTTTTCCAAAAATTGGTGGACAAAACTTTCTGATCACTTAAAATTGCAAGAGTTTTCTCGGTCACCTTCAGTATAGGCCCTATCATCTTCCATAGTCTCTTGTGTGCGACGGTATCTGAATAACTCATTTCTAATAACTGCAAGGAAGAAACTAAAAACTTTCAATAATGGCAGAACTAACCTTTACATGAAGAAAATTATGTTATTATACCACTAATTGTAAGTTTTATGAAACTCCAGTTCCTTACTCCACTTCATTGTATTGTCTTACATAAATATTTTTATTTTTCCTAACCATGTCATGTTGTTACCCATTACATTTACTTGTCAGCCACTTCTCCCTCCCACACCGCCTGCGGATTCCCATAGTCTCCCGGGGAAACCGCCACTTACACCTTGTTTTACTCGCATATAAACACGGCTAATGAAGGGAAATTAAGGGCAGTGTTCGTGTGACACTCACTCAGGTGGTCGACAACAAATTTGCGAGGTTTTGATGACATCATAATCTGCTTTAGTACTGATTTTAGAAGCTTATAGTTGTTGCCGGAGGAGATTTTTGTGAGTGAAATTTCAAGCAAGCTTATATAGGGTGTTTCAAGAAATATGACAGAAACTTTTTGCGAATATCTTTGAGCTCTTGGGAGTTATCGCGGAAATTCGTCTTGTTTCTAAAACTTGAAATTGGGCGGTTCTGTAATCATCAAAAAAATTTTTTTTCGTCGGCGGAGAGGCCAGTTCTCGGCGGAGACATTTGAGGTTTTTTTTAAAATCACATCGTATTACATATTACAATCGTATTACAAGAAGAATTTGCGTGAAAACTCCCAAGAGCTCAAAGATATTCGCAAAAAGTTTCTGTCATATTTCTTGAAACACCCTGTATAAAAAGCTCTGACCACTCAACTTCCCACCGCACGGCAACCCGAAATAGAAGAAACATGTTTCCCGCCCACTTTTGAGTTGCGTCCAAACGAAGTATCAAAATTGACAAAAGAAATAAAATAATTCCGAGAAAAATATTTTTCGGTCGGAAAACCCCACGAAAAATTCTTTTGTGACATTTTGTTTGATTTCAACCAATACAAAATCGGCGAAGTGTCGAAAGGAGCCAGGAAACACTTCGGGTTGCCGTGCACCGTCTTTGATATAACTGTTATATCAGTCTGTCGGGAAAATAACGGCGGATCGTCGCATCAAAATGTCTCGCCTCGCCGCTATCGCGCACCAAATTCCCAGCCGCGGCTTGAAGTCGCAAAGCGATGATGGGCGATTCCGAGGCGCGACAATCCGCCATTATTTTCCCGACAGATTGATACTGGAAGGCGTATTTTACCATTCCCAGAAGAAACATTGACTTTTTTGCCCTTCTGTTTTGTGCCTTTCAACTGTTTTTTTTCAATGCTTCTTGTCCCCCAGCAACAGTTCAAACAATTTCTTTTCGATTTTCAATATTTTTGTTTTCCTCCTCCCTCGACCTCTGGCCTCAGACTTGGCCGTGTTTATTCAACTTATCAAAGAGTCGGCTCGAGTTTCGGCTTACGTGAAAGTGCAGACTTTATCTCGAGCACGGGTTGTTGATATGAGATAAAAAAGTTTGACAGAGCAGATTTAATCGTCGTACTTTGAAGCCAAAATATCAGCCCGTCGGGGAAATAATGTGGATTTTTTCGCAGCAAAATTTATCGACTCACAGAAGTCGCGCACCAAATAATAAATTCCCAGTTGCGGCTAGCCGTCGCAAAATAATGCTGGGCGATTTAGAGCCGGGGAAAAATCCACATTGTTTTCCGGACAGACTGATATAGTGTTTCTCCGCTGGAAATTTAATAAACTGAATAAAAAATGCTTTGTATAACCTTGCATCTTGTATTCAGTAAAGTTATAACATTTTAAAATTGAATGATTTTCAAAATTTACGAGTTTTTAGGGACTTAAAAATTGTAAAATACGACCATCATTGTATTCTTTTCAAAAAGTGAAAGTCTCAAAAAACGTTGAAGTTTGCCCAAGACAGGAATCGAACCTGTGTCGCCACGGCCACAACGTGGAGTACTAACCACTATACTACTTGGGCCGATGACTCTGTTTCTTCACTTTGATGACTATTAAACTACTCTTCTTTATGAATACGAATACCTCATTAATTTCTCGCAATGATTTTATAATTAAATTCCTGAGGTGTTCTGGATTCAAAGAGAGACGTTGAAAAGTCATCAAAGTGAAGAAACAGAGTCATCGGCCCAAGTAGTATAGTGGTTAGTACTCCACGTTGTGGCCGTGGCGACACAGGTTCGATTCCTGTCTTGGGCAAAGCGCTTTTTTCTTTTCTTTTTTTGAGACGTATAACAACACCGTTTCTACAGTTATCGTATTTTACACTGCTTTTTTCATTTTATCACCGTATTTTACACTGTTTTTCTCTTTGAAATCGCCCGGTTCGATTCCTGTCTTGGGCAAGCGGATTAGATTTTATTTTTTGGAAGTCTTGCGCAGTGATATTGTTTTCAATTTTTGGTGAAACAAGGTCTATATTTTACCTTCTTTTTTTTACAAAAAATTTAATATTCTTGATATTCGTGTTTGACCCAAATGTCCTTTGAACTCGATTCTACTAACAGATAGTTTCTTGGAGCGTATCTTAACAACATTTTAAAAAAATTCGAGCTTTTGCTTGATTTTTTTTTGAAGTGTGACAAACTTTTTTTGATTTTTTCAGGTAAAATTTTTGATCATCAAGATAAACAGTATCCAAAATAAGTCATGATTTTTTTGTTTCCTCTATATCCATATCCATTATCTCTCTTTTCCCTCTTTCTTACTGTATTTTTTGCAAAACCTTTTAAACTTTTCGTCCCAACTTGAAACTCGCCGCCTCGAGTTCGTTTGTCCAAAAGGATACGGTGGAATCAGTTCTGTCCCCTCTCTCCTGCAGCCATTCCTTCCACTTCCTTTGTTTTTGTCATCAAACAAAGCCAAGCCATCAGCTGACCTGTCTTCTCCCCCAAAAACCCTTCGTTTCTCATTGGGAAACTCGTCTTATCTCCCAAATTTTTGTCTTAATTATACTCCCCATTAGCTTCGAATTGACATTCCCTTATCATTGCGGAGAGTTTCCGCTTGGGGAATTCCGAAAATGGTCGATTTTTGAATATTCAGCGATTTGCAAAGAGATTAAAATAAAGATTAACATTCGAGGCTTCCCCGGAAAGTAATGCAATCAAAACTGATGATAAAAGCAGCATTTGACTTGTAGTTTAATATAATAAAAAATCGAATTTGACTACTTTTTTGATTCATTGATTCTGTGGATCCGTTACGTGGCTCCAAAATCGTCGAAATAAAAAAAAGTTTTCCCCGTTGTTATGCAAATTCATCTGCGTAAAGCAGCACAAAAATGGTTTATTGATAGAGGGAGGTCTACAAAAAACGTATCAAGTGGTTAATCGGATCAGAATGGCCTCGGTTACTCGGTTTGCTTCGATTTTTGCTTTAAAATCATGAAAAATTGAATTTTTTCAAAAAAACCTTATGTTTTAATAGATTATTTAAAGTGAACTGACGTTGAAATGAGGTTATATACCTCCCTGGATATTATTGCTTCATTTCCGAGTTATTTACAACTTCTTTGTACTCGAATTACCATAAACCACGCAAAGGCTATACTGGGTGAATATAATTTAAATTTTTTCTGGGAAGGAGATTAATTAGCCGGCCAAAATTAATAGTAAACACTTCTCTGGACCATCAACTACTCTAGTTTAATGAATCGGGTTAGGACGTAGGCATTTCTAATCGCTTTTCGCTAGATTAATGTCTCATGTGTAATATGTGAAGGTGTTTACCATCTGTCTGCTTCCCTTTCGGAAGTAATTTCGTTTCTTATCGCTCCACAGTATCCCATCACCCTCTTTCCAAACATTTTCAAGTTGTTTCATGCTCTTTTTCCTATCTCAAAAATTCAAATTCCCCGGAGTCCCGCCAATTTCGCAGTGCACTCCAAATTTCTTGGCATTCCGCCGCAAGATGTCGCCTTTTTCCTTTCCGACGTTTTCGTCGTTTCCCCGACGGCGTTGTTATCTCGAAAGCAGTCGGGTTTGCGTCACATATCGATTCGCTTTTTCTGTTCTCCCCTCCTCGCGGGGGCCTATGGCCAAGAGCCGCGAGAGAGCGCGCGAAACGAAGAGAGCGCCGGACGAACCGACTCTCGGGGAGGGTGCAGATAAGATTATGGAGCTTTGGGGGCCGAGCTTTGCGTCGCGGTGGGGACCGGACTCTTCATTCCGGTGCCGTTCATCACGCGCCGAGCAGCCGCAGAGCAGAGCTGTTTTGTGCGCCCATGGAGAAGATAATCTCGGGCCGTTCCGGCCCGAACCCACCTTCCACGCACTTTGATACGGAAAGCTATGTCGAAAGTTGTTCGTTTCTGACGTATTCAGACCAAGTTGAGGTTGTTCGTGCGGTTTGCGGGATTTGCGAAATATCGGACCAGAGTTTTTTGGTTTAAATAGGGAGAAGGTTCGAATTCAAGGGTTATTTATCGTATCAGTTGACGTGATCTTTCTTTTTACACTGTACTTGCTCCATTTCGGCCGTTCGGATTATCATTTTTTAGGGGAATTGCGAAATTTTATATTGCACTAGATATCTGATATGAATCGTGATAGAAAGGCCGATTTTTTAATGAGTAACGGGGTTCCAGTTGGTCGCTCAGCAGTTTTATGGCCTATTACTGCTTTTTATAATGTTTTCGGCTCCATTTACTTCCAATTCCTCTGGTATTTAGGGCTATGTTGTAGTAGACAAAAATAAATGGATAAGACCTCCATAAATCCTTTTATTGACTAATATCAGACTTCAAGATTCCCTCAGAATCTCTACTTCCTAATAGATAATAACTTCTTAAGAAATTTTACAAAAAATTTCGAAATTTATATTACACTAGACATCAGATTTAAGATTAGCTCTGGACTCGGCGTTTTATACAATTTTTCTGTTGTGAATATCTTCTTCACTGTTGATAAAGTCTTCTCAAGGTGTTACACTGATGTCTGCATCGATTTCCATCAGTTTTTCTGGTGTAATTGCTTAGTGTAAGATGTCCTCGATTCGTGCAAGAAATATTTTTTCCGCGCGGGTTTGATGGATTATCTTATGTGGTATTTCATGACGGAGTGCAAGCCTACTGGAACGCTCCAGTTTTTTCCGTTCCGATAAATTTTTCGCATAAATTACTTTACTCTAGATGTTTTCGAAGGAAATCCTCGATTTCCTGAGGAAATAGTTGTCTGCAATGTGCGTGTCTTTGTCCTAAGGCAAATTGAGGTCTGCTCTTGCTAACTAAGGCACTTTGCCCTTCGTAAATGGAGGTTCAGACGGTCTGCCATCTATTTTTACCTTGTTTTCCACAACCCTTCGAACTCTCCCTCACAAAATACCCGATAATTTATGTAGATTTGGGACGAAGGATCTGTAAGCTTCCGGACTCTTCCATGTGACTACCACTCTCCGAAAAAGTCCGTTTGTTTCGCAAACAGGCGTAGCACAATCTTATTTTTGCCCCGATTTCATCACATTGATAAGCTCTTATCAACTGGGGCTGTCCCTCGAGAAGGGAAGAAGTATTCCCAATAAAGAGGGCGAAGGAGACGGCGTCTGAGACCCCGCTTGTCCTATGATTATCGATTCGAACGTGTATTTTGTCGCGGCGGAGATTTTTATAATTCACTTCATGTGTAATATAATTTCGAATTTATTTCAGACTAGCTCACTTGCTCGACTCGTTTCAGCGCTCAAGAGAAAAAATGGCCATGATTTCCAATAACGTCTCTAATTCGTCTAATTTGTAAGTGGACTTTGGGTTACTGTACTTGAGTTTAGGTTACTGTAGAAAATAATATAATCGGGAAATAACTCGGAATAATGTTAAAGGCCTCTACGGCAAATGAAGACTTATTTTTCGTTTATTGACTTTAGTTTCGAGCTGATTTTACTTGATGGGCCAAGTATAATATAATTTTATTTCAGCTGCAGTCGGGGCGGTACAGGCGCCCCGTGTTGTTTTTGACGCCCCTCCAAGTGATCCAGACGCAAGTATAGACTCAGACGCGCTTTCCGGTCTCGTAAAACGTAAGTTCTTGCTCGTTCTTGTGTCGTATTTTAGGTGGAATTTTGTTTTTGAATGTGGTCTTTGTCGTTATTTATGGGAAAGGATAAGATCTCCTATAGTTTAAAGAATTTTCTCGTCTAAAATACGGCCTTCTAGAGATTTGTTTCCCTAAAGTAATATAATTTTTTTCAGAAGTCAGCGAAGAATGGTGTGCCCACATTCCGGAGAAGAAGACCCTCGCCCTGTTCCTGCCCCACAACCAACTGTCGTCAAAGCTGAGCCGCGAGCACTTTGTGAACCTCCTCGAGTATTGTGAAGATGAGCTCGGGTTCAACAAGGTGCTCGCCTGCTTCAACCGCGACGGTCTGGACGCCAAGCAGGGAATCCCCAGGGCCCTACGTTGCATCGGCTTCAATGTGCTTGCCCCCGAACACTTCCCATCGTGTTTGGACAAGTCGAAGTTGTTCTGTATGGTCTACCACATCTAAATCAATGTGGCAATGAAGAATATGGGGTGTACGGCGATGTCCCGTTCCATGAAAATACAGTTTTCTCTGCGATGTAATATCCTATATTATAAGCAGAAATTGTATTAATATTGTTTCGGATGTCTCGTACTAAAGACTTTGGAGAACTCCGTATTTTTGAAGGTAACGCAATGTAAAAGACGAGTATTGTATACTCTTAAGGTGCTTGTGATACCTTGTGGAATATGGGAAATCTTTGAAAGGGTGCGTCGATGGTCGCCAAAAGGCTGAAGCAGTGGCCTTCCGACATTCTATAGGATTACTGTCGAATTTTCAGTAGACGGTGGTTCTCGAGAATGTCGGTTGGAAACTGCGGCAGCCTGACCATGGACGTACCTTATAGTCTGACCTGGGCCCTATTTCTCCTATCTTCTTCACTCAATACTCTCACCATTCTCTTTTTTGTATGCTGTTTTTACCCTCCCCTGAACACGAAATTTGATACAGTAGGAGAATTATTGTAAAATACGGATTAATTCTAGGTTTTTATGAAATTTCAAGCTATCCTAAGTTTTTACTACTGTATATACTGTAATTTTTGCTTAGGAAGCTTGGAATTTCTGGAAATCTTGCGATTTTTTCGTTTTACTTTGATTTGAGTGCTGTAACAATTTTTGTAAGGTTTGCCCATCCCGCAGACAAGCCTTGCCGTGTTCTTGAAGCCCTTGTTTATTGTAACCAATGGTTTTTTTTGTATCTCCCTCTTCACGAAACGCGTCTGAGTAGTCTATCCCCCCTCCCCCAGTTTTTGTATCACTGTAACATTATTAATCTTATTATAGTCTGTTTTTATAGTTCTCTTTCTCTCAACTCCTTCCGTTAGTCGACAATAAATTGTATAGTAAAATACGATCAGACTTTTTGAAATGGTTTGAAATTGGAAATGTAAGTGACGTAAATAGATCAGAATTTTATTTATCGTCCAAATTTGATCCCTATATCCCGATTACTCACCCCAACGTATCTAAAATTGGACCCATCATATGAGAAGCCGAGCCCCGCTTTCATTCTGATTCCAATCCCCTCTGCCATCCCTTCTCCAGCGCCTGCATAAACACGGGATAATCCTTGAATTCCGCACATTCCCGTAATAAACTTATAGTGGGTGGATTAGATCACATGATCAGACAGCCGAACGTTAACCTTTCTCCATCTTACTGTAGGATAATCCCTGTAGACGAAGATTGCTTTGACTGCTTCTGATTTCAAGTGTTTATTCGAACATTACACTCCTCCCTGTACATGTGGAAATTAGCAGATAAAATTATAATAGTGATACGAAACTCGATTTGTAAGCGTTGACAAAGTGGGACTTGAATATTATGTGAATATGAATTAGACCCGTGGGGGAAAGGTAGACCGAAAACCAAGGCGAATATTTACAGGTTTGGCGATTAAAGCGTAGTAAATTTGGAGAGAAATTACTTGGAAAATCTGCCTAGTCACAGACCTCTCCAAATCGTAATATTAAATATAATACCGGACAAAAATACAATCTCAAATGAAAAAAATACAATACTTAATCAAAAACAAGCTAAATTTCGAAAAATACAGTAACCCAGACGTCTTTCAACTCCAAAATAATTTGATCATACAACTTCGTGAAGAGTCTCGTGTTTTCCTGACGAATAAATAGAGTCGCGATGATAATTGCCGGGCAAAAACGGCTTCTGATCGTCCGATCTGAGCGGGTATTTGGAGACGGAAGTGCACTTTTTCACTGTACTTTTGGGCTTCTCCTCGGCGCCACAGAAACACCGTTTGAAGGCGTTGCGGAAACGGGCCGACATGACATTGTAGAGGATCGGGTTGATAGCACAGTTGAAGAAAATGAGGGTTTTGGCGAAGAAAAGGTACCTGGAAGGGAAAAAATTATTTTTTGAAAATCAGAATACTAGTTTTAATGTTCTAGTTAGTTATAGTGACATACCATGCTTTGGTGAACATCTGAGTCTCATCCACGAACGAGTTGTACATGACCATCGCCCGGTAGGGCAGCCAGCAAACCGCGAAGATGATGACCACAAAAGCCAACATTTTGATGACTTGAACCTGCATCCGACTGCGCGGCGTCTGCCGTTTTGTCGATATTGTGGTCGTATTGCTCATGGTGAGCGTCAATTTCATCGAGGAGTTCTTGTCCATTTGAATTGAATTGCTTTGTTTTGTCTTCAAAGCTGGAGGTGAGAACGTGATGGAATGCGATCTTTCAGTGCCGTTCTGCGACAGGGAGTCTGGATGGATCGCTGAAAACACTTGAATTAGTCGTAGGAAGGAAGATTTTGAGGGGAAATTGAGTTTTAGAGAAAATGATGTTTTCGTGGTGGGACCCAAAAATTTTTATTTTGGGCCAGGAAAAGGTCAAAAATGCAAAAATAGAACCTTGAGAACTCTTAATCATCGATTTTAACGATGAATTCTCCGAAAAATTCAACTTGAGGTTTTCGTGGTGGGACCCAAAATTTTTTTATTTATAAGCGTAAAAAAGGTCAAAAATGGAAAAACATAACCTTCAGGACTCTTAACCACCGATTTTCGCGATGAATTCCCCGAAAAATTCAAGTTGAGGTTTTCGTTGCGGGACCCAACATCTTTTGAAACATGTAATTTTTATCAGTTTTATTTCTTACGAAAGGCTGATTTATATTTTAAAAACAAAATTTTCCGTTTTTACGTACAACCTGTCTCAGTAAATATGATTTTGGGACATTAATTTATATTGTACTAGACCTCTCACTCAAGATTTGCCAATAAAACTAGACCTCTCACTCAAGATTTGCCAATAAAATCCAAAGACTCACGCATTTTATGGCTATTCTGTTGCTGTTGGTTCGAATTCACAGTGCATTTCATCAACGTGTACGTGATTTTCGCATAAATCATCAAATATAAAATCATCGGGACCAGATAACAGCTCAAGAAATCGATGACATAGATCAGCTTGTAGGTCCAGTTTGATCTCTCCAACTTGAAACTACAGTAATCTCCTTCCGAGTCGGTCATAACAGTGGCCAAATAGAGCCATGGGCTGTTGTAGGTGATGCCAAAAATCCAGATCAACGCAATGATCAGCTTGGCCCGCGAGACGGTGCAAATGTAGCGCGCCTTCAAGGGATGACAGATCCCGATGAATCTCTCGATCGTAAAGGCCGTAATGGAGAGCGAGGAGGTGTTGATGGCAAGATACGGAAGATAGGAGAGGAGGGAACAGCCCATCGATCCGAAGATGTACTGTTTCGAGGTCCCATGAAGATTATTCAGCTCCTGCGGCAATGAAGCGATGAAAAATAAACAATCGGAGGCCGCCAGAGAAGTGAGGTAGCAGTTGGTGGGGGTGATCTGAAAAGTTGGGAAGGTTGGGGGTAAAATACGACAATAGCTATAATGTGGTTTTATAAGGCATTTTCGAGATTAATAGCCCGTGTTTTTTCCAGAGAATTCCGATTTTTTTTGGTTGGATGTTGTAAGGAAATTAAAAAAAAATCATGACTAATTTTTATTGCTATAGAATTGCTACTAAAAAATATGTTTTTACCAGTCAGAAGCCGAAAAGCATAAAAAATTTTCTAAATTTTTTAGAAACTTTTTTTAGACGCTTTTTCGCCCGGTTCTCCTCATTTAGAATTCTCTCTAGAACTTAGAATATCAGTCTGTCGGGAAAATAATGAGCACCGTGTCGCATCGAAAATCGCTCTCCGCTGCGAAAAAAAATTGTTTCACGGCAAAATCAAATTTCTTCTCACTTCAACGACGCCATCGGCGCAGCGACAGAGCGTTCATTATTTTCCCGACAGACTGATACTAGTCGTTTCAGAAAGTGCGTAGACTTTTTTCGGTCTTTTTTTGCACCAGACACTGCATGTTGCGATTCTTTTCGAAACATTTTGCATTGTGCAATTTCTTTTTGTCAGCTCAAAATTCGCGCCGACTCCGTTGAGAAAAGCTTGCGCCGCTGCGATATTGCACTTCCACGGTGCAGAAAGTAAAATTCACGCCGCAAAAATGAGTCTTTTGCACGGTGAGGCACTCGACGAATAGTCTATGCACTTTCTGGAACGACTAATATTTTGTCGGCCGCCAAAAAGGGCGAGTTGAAATCTTCAGGGGTTTGTTGGGGTTCTTAAAATGGCACCCACACCTATCCATGATACTACAAAAAATTTGTGCTTTTTTAAAATCAAAAATATTATAGTAAAGTAATCGAATTCTCCTGTAGAAAGGCCATATTTAACAAATTTTTCAAATTTTTTCGCCAAAATATCAACGTAGGATAAAAAATTTTGAATTGGAAAATACGTTTCCTCTTTCTTGTGATTAAAATTTTCACTTTTCACTCACCATTCCCGGTACCTTCAGCACCACCGTGATCACCATAATATTGCCCACAATCCCCATGACCGCCAACAACGCGAAGATGAACGTCATCCCGACCCTCACATACAGCGGGTAGAACTCGTTGTCCACGTACTGGTCCATCTCGGCCAGGATGTCGACCATTGTGAAGTTCTCGTCGGCCCAGGTGTGCATGGTGGGGTCGGCGGCGTTGCTCATGATGTCCACCCGTCGATTCGCATACCCCGCGTTCCCGTTGAAGGCCGAGATTCGGCCGCTGAAAGGGCTGGGGATTAGATAGTTTTGTAGATTTTTTTATTTCAAAAATTAAATTTTTTTTTATTTTTTTGGGAGTGCAGTTTTGCATAGTAAATTTTTTTATATTGAAAATTTTTGCTAGAAAAATAAAAATCAAGAAATTTTAAAATACGTGTGGATATGTTTCGCCATTTTTATGTATTACCATTTACTGTAAAGAAAACAGTAAAGTAAGCGATCAAAAATCAGAACCAAGTATAGATTTACACTTAAAAAATCACCCTGCAGAATTGTCTCCCACCAAAAGACGTCATTTCAAAAACCACCAATCACTTCTATTGTCAACATGCAGACGAGAAATAGGAAATTGAAAAAGCAAATATACTCATTTGCTCTCAACATTTTGAGGATAAATCGGAGATTTTGTAAATTCTAGTACATAAAAAAATCGCCATTTTTTATATAAAATTAACAAGGGAAGTACCCCAAGAGCGATGTTCAGATTTTCTTTGAATTTTGCACGCACGTAGGCCATGAACTAAGCATCAATTCCTGAAAGTTTTAACTCGCGCTTTGCAGGCGCCGCCGAGATATTCAACGATTTTTGGCCATAAGTTTGCTTGTTTCGCGCGGAAAAAAAAATTAATTTTTTGTGGAAACATTACGCTTTATGGTAGAAATAGGTATGAAACTTTTCATGCCGAAGTTCGGCAAAAATTGTCAAATCTTCGCCGACTTTCAATCTATCTCAGTTGTAGCTGCAAAGCCCAAGTTAGGATTCTCGAAATAAGAAGAAAATATTCTAAATTTGTGCCAAGTCTCATCAAAATCTGAGGGTCGCAGTGGGGGTACTTCCCCTGTACGTCGCACGGCAACCCAAAATAGAACAAAAATGTCTCCCGTCCACTTTTGAATTTCGTCCAAACGAAGTGTCAAAATTCACAAAAGAAATAAAATAATTCCGCGAAAAATATTTTTCGGTCGGAAAACCACACGAAAAATTCATTTTTGACATTTCGTTTGAATTCAACCGATACTAGGTGGGCGAAGCGCCGAAACGAGGCGGGAGACTCCCTGGGTTGCCGTGCGTCGTATCTTCCACAAAAATCGGGCTCAAAAATCCGAAATGACAGCCGTTAATTCAAAAATATATTTTGACTACTGTTTAAGAGCCCATTCTAAATTTCTCAAAAAATTATAAAAAGGGTTAAACAGAATTTTAAATCAAATCCTCTTCAAAAAATATTCTGCGTTCCTTAAAGAAATCGTATTTTAAAAAGCCCCTCCACTAAATGTTCGCGAAAGAAAACACACAGTGTTAAATTGCCCTCAGGGGATTTTTCAAACTGCTTTTTGGGAAAGATTTTCGATAAGATAAAGGAACAAGGTTCATTTGAAATCAGGCTACTAATCTAAATTTATATAAAATTAAAGGGATCCGCACTTTTCGGGTCGACAAAAAATTGGTCGCTGCGAGGCGTAGAGCAGGTAGGGGCCCAAGAAAAGGTTGTAGGAGGTGTCTACGAGGCTTGAAAAAGTTTTTGGATAAAAATGACACCCGACGAAAGCTTGGCGGAGACTTGGCCAAGACTTCCAATACGACGACTTGATCTAATTTTAGCTACTATAAACCTCAGTTTTTTGAGCTATTTCAACGTAGAAAAGTCCAAAACTTGCTCCAAAAACCAAGATCTAGCTCGGCGGAGACTTGACGAAGACTTACTTGCATTTTTCTTACAACAACTTTTTATAACTTTAGCTATTGCTAACATAACTCCATTTTTTTGACCTATAGCTATTGTAAGATAAGTTCTGTAAGTTTTATCTAGATATTATTGGTCTAATATATGCAAAAATGCCTTAAAACAGGTGATAAACTATTCTATGAGATTATTAATCTTATTATTTTTATTATTTATCTAAGCCTTCCTCTAGCCTCCCAGATACATACAACTACAAATCAAAGCGACCCAAGGCATCGTCGACCAGAAAACTCGTAGACTAAACAGTATTTTTTTATTTTCCAGACGTAAAACCCCCATTTGAAACGTGCGAATTCGCGTAATAAAGTTTGATGACTAAACTGGAAACGGACCAGATGCCCCTTTTCATAATAAAAGACAAAAGTAATCTTGTAAAAAATTGAAAATCTCGGATAAAATGGGTGATTAATCAGAACGTCAGGCTTCTTGTGAGAAAATACAAACGTATGGAAGATCGTATTTTACAAAAATTTCAAGCTGTCTCTCGGGAAAAACAAATTTTTGAACATTTATAATACGCATAATTTCAAATATCGTAGAAAATACGCAACATTATAGCTTGTGTTTTCAGATGTCACTGGGATTTTTAACTTTTAATTTATGAATATTCACGATTATGATGAAACTTTTTCAGTCATCACAAAGAGTTTTTTATCCGTTTTTTAGTCGTATTTTACAAAAAAAGTATTAAAATTATGTAAAATCCTGTTTTAAAAAATGTAAAATACGTTGGAAATAGGTATGACAAACATTGAGAAACTCAAAAAATCATTTTTTTTTCTCTGAAAAATTGAAGAAATTTTGATTTTATTTTTTGGCGGGAAATTTAAAATTTAAAATTTTGAAAAAATAAAAAAAAATCATTTCAATTTCTCGTATTTTACCCTAAATTTCAAGCCTTTAGGCCTTCAAAAATCCGCTAAAAATCGTCTTACTTTCCCCGGATCCCGTTGAATTCCTGGTTAAATCCCCCGAACCCCAGCCGATTCTCCACGAAATACCCTGGAGTCGGAGTGGCCGTGGGTCCCGCGTGAGCCAACAAAACCGCCGCCAGTTGTTGGCATTCGGGTCGGCGAAGCAGTCGAGTCAAACTACTCATGTCCCAGGCGCTGTGGAAGAGCTCGGTGCAGCCGGCCATCGCTCAGCCTGTTTCGGGCCGATTTTTGGCCGCCGAATTTTGAATATAGGGTTGAATTGAAGAGGAATAAGGAAAGTTGAAGAACTGAGAATACTGTAGAAATAATTTTGAGGAAATTGCCGGAGGTAAAATGATCTGAAATATCAATTTTTATATTGTTTTAGGCAAAAAACGGTGATTTTGGTGGGAAAATCGCGAAAATAATGAAAATAATCGAAAAATATATAAATTTCTTTGATTTAAAATACGTCACAGAGATTATTCTGTTTCAAAAAGTGATAAATTTAATAAAAAGTAAAAAACAAAATGCGAATAATGATAAAAATCAAAAATTTCCCCCAAAATCCCTAAATTTTGGCCCCAAAACCTCTAAAAATCCCGAAAGAACCCTTTTAAGCTCTTTTAAAATTAAAATTACCACAAAATCCCACACCATGTCGTCGAAAATAGCCCTGCGCAAATGAACGTTGCAAAATATTTGTCCAAAAAATTAGGCCAAAAAATATTTTTTGGGTCATGACCCTGTTCAAACAGCTAAAACCCTCTGTTTTATCGAACAAATGTGTGGGTCTAGCTCAAATTGTCTTGAGTTACAACTCATCGAGTATTTGTATAAGGTTTAGCACACCCTCAGGCAATTTTTGTTTTTGGAAATGACATCAATCAGATAAAAATAAATGCCCTGAGGCGATTTAGAGGTAAAATGAGAGGGAATTGGAGGTGTTGATAACTGTTTTTGATGAGTAAAGTAGTTTGTGACGTATTTTGAGCGATAAATTTTTTTGTTTTTTTTTTATTTTTGAGAAATAATAAAATATGTAAAATACGAGAAGATAGGCATAATGTTTTTTTGTTTCACTCAATAAACCTTTCCCAAAAAAAAAATTCAAAAAAAATTGAAAAAAATTATGTTACTGTAATAAAAAAAATCCGATTAAATTCGTAAAATAACAAAATAAAATTTCTAACAACAAATTTTAAAAGAAATGCATTGTAGTTTACACCGTCTAAAAATCCCCGTTCCAGTAAAACTTTCCAGTTATATTTAGCAAAATGACGTCATCTACAATAATACAATCCCAATCTTGTTGTCGCGCGGATCATAATAAACGCCAGGTCAATGTAAACAGACTCTCTTTCCCTCCCAACTGCCTATTCTCACCCAGTAGTTCTAATAATTTCGTTTACAAGACATCTTACGACCAATTCCTACTCAAAACCGCCAAAATGGCAGATAGTCATACTATCAAACTGTTTGGACTATAATCATAAAAACTGTGGTTTTCTGACAGCATACCTACATTCTATATGCATGCCAAAAGTTGAGTGGGTTCAAGATATTGAAGGTTTTGAAGGGTCCCTACAATTCCGTGGAGCAAGGAGATGGTTAACTTGTTTTGGCTATAACTCTCCTACTTTTAATGATAATCATGGGGTTCCAGCCGAATTTTAGAGAGAGAGGCGTCTGCTCTAGGATAGGTCAACAAGATTTTCCCAGAAATTCCGATTACTTGCCTTAGGGCATTTGCAAAAAAACCATCGGAATCTCTCCAAACTTCAAAGAAAAATGCGAATACAATGGCAAAATGGGTGGCCTGGAGTGTGACGTAAAATTTCAGAGCGAGCCAGGTTCACCATCAAGCAATTTTCTATCCATTTACACCATAAGACTTACAAATATAGTCAAAATTTTTGAAAAATGAAAGATTAAAGACCAAATGTTTCATGCATATATACTTATAAGGAAAAGGCTGACAGCCCTTCAAAATTAAGACATCGCAAGAATTTTCTATTTTCAGCCAAGTGTATGCGTTAATTCCGGCTTCAGGTCAGAAGATACAATTGCTTCAGACTTGACCTAATATTTGTCGTCTGAACCAAAAATCATGTGAAAAGAGCGTCCAAACGTAGTCAAATTTACTTTATTCAGTTTAAAATTAGATTTGAAACGAAATGGATTACTTCCTCTATCTGCGGATAACAGAAAAATCTTACTGTAATATTAATTCAACACAATGCCAAAAAAATTTAATTTGGCGCAAAATTCGAAAAATAAAAGTCAAACAAGGGTCTGAACCGCGGTATAGACAAAGGTCAAATGTGCTAGGGTCAAAGAACGGCAATTTTGATTACTGTAAGAGGACGAAAACACAATGCCAAGAAAATAATTTTTGGCGGGAAATTCAAAAGTTAATATATTTTTTAGCCTTAAAAGTAGCAAAAGGTAGTAAAAATACGAGAATCAACCGTCAAAGTTGTTTTTAGAGTACTGTAACATCACTAAAACAGAAAGCCAAGAAAATAATTTTTGGCGGGAAATTAAAGTTTAATTTATTTTAGGACGGTAAAAATAGAAAAAAATATTAAAAATACGCAAGAACAACCCTCTATATTTTTGTTGGAGTACTGCAACATCACTAAAACACAATGCCAAGAAAATAATTTTTGGCGGGAAATTCAAAAGTTTGAATTAATTTGGGAATAAAAGTAACAAAGAAATATTTAAAATACGGCCGAGTAACCAGTCAGGTTGTTTTCAGAGTAGTCCAACATCACTAAAACACAATGCCAAGAAAATAATTTTTTGGCGGGACATTCAAAACTAAAATTTTTTTCATCATCAAAGACAAAAAAGGGACTTGCTATAAAGCCCGCAACATTCTTTTCCCCCTCAAAAATTTACGCTACTTTTTTGGCCCTCTAAGTAACCCAATAAAGGAGGATTCCGATGTAAAAAGATTGTGGTATTTGGCTTGAAATTGGCCCATGTCATTTCCTGAAAACTCTGTAATACAAGCGTGGGATTTTCAGGCAGTAACGGGACTTAGTTTCGGATTATTCGCTCAAATTGGATAAAAGTAATAAAATTTGACATTTGGGAGACAATTTTTGAAAAACATTTTTTGAAAACACCAAGAAAAAGTAGTAAAATTTTAGTAAAATACGACATGGCGATTTAACAAGGCTCTGAAGTTAAAAATTTTAATATTCAAAAAAAAATCGAAATTTCAAAAATTAGTTCAAAACTTTCTACAGTATCCCAATTGCAGAATAAAATACAGCCACAGGGAAGAAACTACCCGACTTCCTCATGTTCCCAATATATGACAAAAAGGAAACCGGAAAATGAAAGGTTTCAATTTGTGGAACACCCTAATCAAATTGCAATCCCCTCCGGGGAAATTGGAAAATTTCACGGAAAAAATACAAAAAAACCTTCTTTGAAGCTCTTTGTTACATGACGTAATTGAATTTGAAGGAAATTTGAATAAAATGACGGGAAAATTGCGATTGCACTGTGCAGAAAAAGAATGATTTTCTTGCACCGTGCAGTTTTTTTGGAAACGAAACTTCTTCGCTGCACTGTGCGACCTCCAAAATTTATTTTTCCTGCACTGTGCGGTCAGTCAGCGATGATAAATTTTGCAAACAGAGAAAAAATTGCTTTTTATCGCACTGTGCAACAATTTCTGCGCGAAAATTTTTCTTCTTTGCACCGTGCAATTACCCAAGATTTCGCTGCACTGTGCGAAATAATAAAAAAAAATTTTTTGCACTGTTCGGAAGACTTTTTGTCGCCGCTTGCACTGTGCAGAAAAATAATTTTTTGATTGCACCGTGCAACCGTTTTTGGAATCAAAGAAAAACTTGTTGCACTGTCCCAAAGATTTTACTTTTCCTGCACAGTGCGGCGAGGTCAAAAACTGTTCCGCATGGTGCAAAGAACTTCCTATCGCACTGTGCACCACCTTCTGTGTGAACATTTTTCGTCTTCGCACCGTGCAACCCGAAAAAACCAAAAATTCCACTGCACTGTGCGAAATCATAAACGTGTTTTTTGCACTGTGCCAAAAATTCTTATTGCCGCTTGCACTGTGCAGAAAGCTTAAATCTTCAGAGTTCGCACAGTGCACCAAAAATTTTGTTTCCAAAAACGATTGCACAGTGCAAACAAAGAAATTTTTGGACTGCACAGTGCACAACCCTCAAAAAATTATTTTGCACAGTGCAATCACAATTTCCCCTAATTTTATTCAAATTTCCGCCAAATTCCCTACGTCATGTAAGAAAAAGAGCTCCGCAATTACTACCACGTCACCTGCACGGTTCAAATTCTACACTTTTGTTTTTACATGGCGAAAAAACAACTTAAAAAACGGAGTTAAAAAAGATTGTTTTTGGGCCAGGCTCTATTTACAATAATACCGCGTTTCCGGGATTTTTAATTCTTCTCACGGATATGTCAAATGCACGTAAAAAGATTTTTCTTTGAAAATTAAAAATTTTAACTTTTTTCGAAAAATCAAAAGGATTGAATGATGGTAAAATACGTCAAAGACGGGGTTAGTTCCCCGTTGAAATTGGTAAAAATAATAATATAAATTTTGCTGACCTTGGGAATAGAACAGGCCAAGCAAATACGATAGCTATACAACACACATAAAAATAAAGCACGGGATAATCTTTGTATTACGATTCATTTTTCAAAAATATATCAAAATAAAATGGTAAAATACGAAAATTTCGGGGTTAGTTCCCCGAACTGTAACTCAAATTTAGGATTAAAAAATCAAGTCTAAATATTGTTGAACTCCAGGTTAAAATACGCGTCATCAGATCCAGAGATAGTTCCGCCAGCTTAGAGAGCCATGTCTAATCTGGGCCAAACGCCCCAAAAATATGTTCAGAGATCACTGTAGAAAATTTCATATAAAAATGTCGGACATGATTTTCAAAAAAAAAGATCTGCTTGCCCAAGACAGGAATCGAACCTGATGGTAAAATACGGTGTCGTAGACCTCTGGGTTTTTAGAGATTACAAAATTCGCAAATACGAAATCTATAGGAGTTTGAAGTACAAAAAAAAAATAGTTTTGCATTCAGAAAGGTCACACAGTTATAAAAATGTATACTTTTAAAAATAACGAGTTTCAAACGATTACAATGTGTAGAATACACCCAAAATGGAGGGTTTGTGTCAAGTACAAAGCAAAAATAAA